CTTCAGGCGATCGGTCTAGCCTCTGTACGATCGGTAGAGATCCCAAGTTTTGTTCGCGGACTCGCGCTATGGGAGGGTGCTTCGTACCTGGTTGTAACCGCGATCCCGTGGAGAAAGATTCTTGCAGTTTCTTTAAATTTCTGCAAAACCCCAAATCGCAAAAGAACTGGATAAAAAACATAAGGTGAGTGTAAATCAGATTGTACTCTGATCGCGGGTTATACAATTTAATGTATACAAAAAAAATTGCGAAATTGCTATGCGGAGGGCAAGTTCGTCTGCTTCTCGCGCAGGGGGTAGCGGTGACGTCAGAACGCCGAGCCCTGATTGGCTGATCGCGACCCCCTATCTGAGCGTCGTCTGCTCCTTTGCAACGTCGTCTGCTCGCAACGTCGTCTGCGTCTGTCTTACCTTTCCTGCGACTTTCAGAAGTGCAGAGGCCAGATTCACGAAACGATCTTACGCCAAAAATATGCGTAAGACAAAACTTAAAAACAAATTCGTACTCACGAAACGAAATTTTCGTAAGTTTTGCGCAGGTTACGACAAAATCCTACGACAGCGCCGAAGCTGTCTTACGCACTTCTTACGATCAAATTAGCATGGCCGACAGCGTCGCGGTCGCGACGACCCACGGACGTTTATTTTTCTACGTGCGCTTCTGACGCGTCCCGACTTCAAGCAGCAAGAAAAAAGTAAAAAGTACTTGAAACAGACCACGACGAACAAGAACGCTGGATCCACAAACACCCGGGAAAAGCTCCCACGGCCACAATTCCACCGAACGCGACCAAACGAGCTGGGCAGTTAGGCCTAGCAGGCACTCCGCGACTCGGCGACCGTCTGGCCACGACCGGCTGGCGTGCTGAGTGGAATATGCCCGCACGACCCTTGTGAACCCTTCCCGTATTATACTTTGATCGCTGACCTCAATTTTAGATTAATGAGGTCAATTTCTTCCTCTTGTTATCTTCTTGTTTCCCGAGGCAACGGTGACTGGCCGGTGAAAAAGCGGTGAATCTCCGACAGACGCAGCAAAGGTAAAGCAGCCATCGCTTTGACCGCTTTGACTAGCAGACGTAAAGCAGACGACGTTAACTGCGCCAATTCGCCGACGCCGTTAGAGAGTGAGGGGTCTCGCCGCACACGAATGGAGGGAAAACGTATTTGGGAGGGAACTTGCGGACACTAACACGCTCACTCTCGGTTCTAAGCAAAAAAACCTCGGCGCCCCGGGACACCTCGCCAGTGAGTCGTTTGACTTCCCTCCTTGATGCGCGTCTGCTAGTTGTTAGACAAAAACAACGTACCACTCGAGTTATTTCGTCTGCCCTCTCTTAAAGGCGAAGTCGAGTTCGCTCCGAAAGTCGCAGGAAAGGTAAGTCAGACGCAGACGACGTTGCGAGCAGACGACGTTGCAAAGGAGCAGACGACGCTCAGACAGGGGGTCGCGATCAGCCAATCAGGGCTCGGCGTTCTGACGTCACCGCTACTTCCTTTCTTATGCGCAGAAGACGAAAATGAGCCCACTTGCGAGGCGTATAGACATGCAATATTTAATAACCTGACAACTTCAATAATAATAATAATAACAAACGACTTACCTTGACGGCGTACGATTTGTTTCTCATGCTGGCCTGCACTGCGCTGGTAATGCACTTCAGGTCGTCTTCGTAACTGATCTGCATGACGTGGTTTGATTTTACGGAATTTTTGCCCTTCTGAACTAAGCTGGGTTCTTCACGGAAAAAAACGCACATTGCGGAGGCCTCTGTGGCCATGGCGATGCACTTGCTTGTGTTGCTCGTTTACCGACGCGATTCAAATAAGACGCCCGCTGCAGCAGAGGCCAGCAAGTCTATCGTGTCGTCTGCCATAAAAACAAAGCGGAGTGGAATACTTTAGAAATGGCTTTCATTGTGCAATACGACGCTGAGATGACAAGAACATCTTCATAATTAGATATCAAGAAGTTAGGTTGCTTACAAAAAAGTTTTTACTTCCTTATAAGCTAAAATCTAGCCTCGTGTGGAGTTACCATGCATTAGTCCATAGCAACGCCCCTAGCAACGGTTTGTTTGGACCCAGACGCCATGTTGTGACGTCATCACTTACGGGGTCAATGGGTAGGATTGACGCAGAGCCTCTGGATAAGGATGCCGCGAACCTCCCAAAGTTCGAGGTCGAAAAGTTTCGAAACTGCACCTCGCTAAAGCTAGAATTTTAAAAGTTCGCAACTTTAAAACCCCGCTGAGGTTCGAAATTGAATAATTCGAAAATGTTAAGGTTTCTGAAAGTAGAGTTCGAAGATATCGATTTTTTTTTTACAGGCATAGTTTGAAAAATTCGAACGTTTGGATTTTATATTTAAGATTCAAATTCGAGAAATCGAATATTTATCGATGTACAAGGTTGAAAAGTGCTAAAGTTTCGATTTTAAATTCAAAGCCTGAATTTCACGAATGAAAATCGAATTCCGCAGTTTCAAACTGAGCATCATGAATTCATCTAAAACAATTGTGAAATGTGCAACAAGTTTAACTGAAAACGTTGCCCATTTATACTCCACCCTTCTCAGTGCTGCAGGACTAATGGTACTACATGTATTATTCGTTATTTTGTGGCAACTTGTAGACCGTTTTATTGTGGGTTGCATCATTTTGAGAGCGAGAGAAAAGAGGACAAAGGGGCTCCGGGCGCTTTCTCCCTTTGTGTAGAAAGAGTGAAAGTCCCGGATGAGAGGCTTGGCCGGTGTTGGGTGTATGCAATGCCCAAACTACGATTGTGCTTTCTTCTCCGTTTTAAACTCCTAAACTTAATTAGAACCACGGTCTTTGATGCGACAGTCCCCCGGTCATCGGGACACCATTGCTGGGTGATGGGTGCACAAATAACGAAAACATCAAATACTGCCCGAGCACCCATCTAGCTTGCATGGGGCAGGGCGAGTGCGGCTGCAATGTTTTTAAGCTCCATCGCTTTCCGCATGACTGGGCGTTTGCCGCTAGTCGCCGAGAAATGGTGTTCAAGATTGCGCTACTCTGCTCCGAAGGAGCTATACAGTGCTCTAGATCCCACTACCCCTTTCAAGTATTTCAAGCCTTTCCACCGCTTGGTGGCGGGTATGTCGACGGGTCATTTATTGATTCCATGCTTCATAAGCTGCATTTGTCTCTTTTCTGATATAAAATACGGAACGAAAACTACTTTCATAGATAACTGAAACAGTTGGCACCAATTGTATCTTGTATTTAGACTAAAAAAAAAGCTTGTAGCTGCTCCGACCAGTAGTAAGGCCACGACCAAAGACTTCACATATTCCGCGCTTTCGGCACTGCGGGTCGCACCCGTAGGTGGAGGAAGTTTCCGCGTCGTCCGGTTAAAGTATGACGCACTGATATTTAGTCACTCTCTCCGTGCCCGCTGGCTTGCCCGAACCCCAAGAGACGTGGACACCGCAAAAATGGTAGACGCTTAAGTATGACTGCAAAGCCCCTTTAAAGCATAGACGGGTTGTGTTTTTGTAACAGTGAAAACTAGAAACCATCGAGATTTCATAGAAGGGGGAAAAGGCAAGTTGCTGAAGGTTCAGTATTAATTTGCCTCCCCCCCTCGCGCACGATTCAATAGGATGGGATCACAGTCGAGCTTCCCAGCTGACAAGGACTACCTCCAAGAGTTTAGTTATTTTAAGGTATCAACCTTTATCGAAGCAACCTTGTTTTGTCGTGAAACAGATTAGTATTGCTAAAGGTGAGGGCACCAACACCAAGTCCAGCTGAACAAATAGTATTTATTACAAGTGCATTCTTTTGAATTTGGCACATGTTTACACCTGGATATTATACCGGGTGTTTCAGCGAAGACGGACAAAAATTCCTCAAATGAACATATTGGAGGTAAAAAGATAATTTTCTCGGGACCGCATTCCTCGCGGTGACGAATGAAAAAAAAATGTGCGATACTTACAATCCCAAGTTTTCTCATTATTTAAAAATGACTAATTTACCACTTTTTAGTTAATGAAAATAGACAAATGGTTCCAATTCAAATCTTGCTGAGCATCATCGAAAACCACGAAATGAGTAATTTTGAGAAATACTGAGCGTGCGTGAGAAGCTAAAAATACCCCTTGTGGAGCAGGTACAAGGCTGGCGGTTGCGTGAGGCGCCCGGGCGATTTTTCTGACCCTTATCAGAGCCCCAGCCTTGCACCTGGCAGCTTTATCGCACTACTACGCTTCCCACGTGCTCAGTCTTTCTGAAAATGACTGATTTAGTGGCTTACGATGACACTTAGCAAGTTTCGAATTGGAACCATATGCCTATTTTCAATACTTAAAAAGTTTGTCACTTTTAATTATTTAGCGAATCAATTAGTAAGTATAGCGCACAAGAAATGTGGTCCCGAGGAAATCCACTAATCTCAGGAATTTCTGTCATTCTTTGCTGAAACATCCGGTATATTTTTTTTTATTTTTGAGACTAGGGAACCATTGCAAAACTAATCTTCGAATTTAGGAGAATTGTGAATCTAACAAAAATAAACTCTGAATTTTCAACAAAAAATAAACTCCGAAAAATACCCTTTGATTGGTTAAAAAATAATCTCCGAAAACACTGAACCCTACCGTAAAATACCGGGCAAGCACACACTCAAACTCTAGAGGTGATGGGGAAAAAGGGGGGATGGGCGCTTGTCCGGTCATCAATTTTACATATAAATCTCCTTCACTTATCTTCTCAGATCTTACAAATTTGGGAATGGACACTTGGAATGGGTGGATGGGCAGTATTCTAAGGTAACTATAATATATGCAAGCATTTTGACCCCACCTCCCCCATGCACAAGTAATGAACATGCCAAACACCTCAGCTACCCACCTTCCAAAAAAAAAAAAAATCCATGGCTATGCCACAGTCAATTAGAGCTCGGCATGTTCCACTTATACACGGAGCATTTTTGTAGTCCCTTCATTCAAGAATTGACGACAGCTTACGGTAGTTATACAAAACAAATCTATATTCTTTTCTTTGCAATAGTAATTGTCTTTTCGAAGAATTTTTATGGAATGCCAAGGTCACGGCAAATTGCCACCGTAGCTCCGCGCATTCCTCGGATGCCCCCCTGGACCACGTTCTAGTCGACATTGAACATTTCCCCTCGAAATGCAAGTCGCGACAGGAAGGGCTGCGACGGACACGTGAGCGCAGTCCAACCGGCTCCGTCTGCAAATTTTGCCGCGTTGCTCGAAGCCGCTGTCCCCCGTTCATCCGTCAACTTTACATCCATTTTGCTCTCTTCCTTTTCGCTCGTACGCAAACCAGCCGCAGCTTGTTCGACGGCACTGGTTAAAAGGTCCTTCAATTCCTCGATTCTTCCTTTCCCCGCGATCTCGAAATGGACCCGGCCGGAAGGGCCGTCGACACCTTCGGAAGTCCCATCGACGAGTTCGCCTTCGTCGCTTTCCGAGGTCAGGTCGACCTCCGTCACTTCCGCCCTCCAGCCTTCGTTATCTCGCGTGCGGTTGAATTTTTTAACGGTGTCCGTCTGAGCGCCTTTTTTCGTCGCTGCGTATTGCGACGCTTCCACGGCCTCGGCCTTAGCACTGGCGTAGTGAGACCCTGGAGCAGCTTCGTCGGGGCCACCTTTGTACGCTTCAGAGGGTCGAGCCGCACCGTCTGCGCGTTCGCCATGCTCCGGGGAATCCCCCGATCGGAATTCCGACTGCCAATACGGGCGCTCCGAGACTTCTTCGGGGCGTCCTCCGACGTGCCCTTTATTCCGGTCCCCGGAAAGGTCCTTGGGGGAGAGGCGGTCAGAAGTGTCCGCCACAACCGTCGCTCCTTTGGACTCATCCGCTTCTAGCCGTACGTCAAAGTCGCCGACGGGAGTAGCAGTCGGATCTTCGCTCGCAAACTCTTTGATCGTGTTAGGCTCGCGGTCTACGCTTCCCTGGACTGTAGATTCCACACCGACGCCTGCTGCACCGTGCCGACCAGTGTCGTCCTCATCGGCCTTAGCTTTGCCTGTCGTGGTAGTCGCAGTCTCAACCTCCTCGACGTCCCCGCCAGCGCCGGTTCCAAATGCGTCAACTACAGCCGCAACGGTGCCGGAGTCACTCTTTCCAGCCATAGCGACATTAGCCGTATCACTCCCCGCAGCTTCGTTCATCTCGCTATAACCTTCCTCGACGACGGCAGCATCGGTGCCGACCGACTTGGCGCAGATGGCTGGACTGTCGTCTATTTCGGTGCTGCCTTCACCCGCTGCAACGACATTGAGATCTTTTAAATCACGCTCGGCAGCAACTGGCACACCAACGTCGGCGGTCCTAGTGTCATCCTCTTTAGCAATGGTGGTTTCGCCATCGTCGGCAGATTTTGCACAAACGGATTTTGTCCCACCAGAGCTTGTCGACGCATCGTCTTCAGCGTGGGCGCTGCAACCTCGAAGGTCGTCCCCAAGGTCGACCCTTGGTGCAAGAACATCGGGATCTTTTACATCGTGCTGAACGGCAACCGACGTGTCGGCGTCCGCGGTTCGAGCGTCAATCTCTTGAGCAACAGAGGCTTCGCTGTTATCGGGGTCTGAAGACCCCGTCCCACGGGGGCCGACAAATTCTTCGGCACTGCTGCCGCCGTCCTCGAAGTAGTTCCCGAAGTGGTCGTCAAGCGGCCTCACAAACTCCTCCCTCCGCTCGTCCACGAGCAGCTTGCTGAGGTCCAGGAGTTCCTCCAGGCGCTCCAGGGCGGCATCTTCGGCAACCTTGTGGGCGCTGCAGCAGTGGACTGCCGCGACGTCGATGGGGTGAGCCTCCGTGTTGAAGACGTAGCCGCCCGCATCGAGAATGCAGCGTCCAGACGGCGTCTGCACGGTGGCCGCTTGGCTCCCGTTGTTGTGGATGAAGTGGTCCGGGCTGAAGAGCAGGTACAGGTACTTGGTGGTCTCCGCCAGAAAGAAGGACTCCATGCGGTCTTCCAGCTCGTGGTCCTGGACCTTCCGGATCTGCGTCAGAGAGCGGGGGTCGTTGTAATATAAGCCGATAGCATAGTTTGGGGTTTCTCAAACTAGGTTCTTAGGAGGCCACCTGGGGTTTCCCCTCGTGGATTCCCCAGGCTGACAAAATCCCTCGACCATCCCTGCTGCTAAGTAAAGTGTTTTCAGAGTTTAAGCACCATTTTAGAGGAGCCACCCAGTGATGCATAACTATGTGCCAAAAACTCGCTAATATCTGCATTACAGTTTACAAGCTCTGTAGGCTTTGTCTGACAGGCCACAGAGATCAATGGGTACAGCACGTACCCATGTAGGTGGCCACTTGGCTAACAAGTACACCACATTTTCATACGTGCCTCCCTGTGATTCATGAATGATGATAGCACTTGCCTACACAATCGGTAGCTGGCATCTCCCCTCCTCCTCCCTCCATCTTCCTCCCCTTTTCCTCCCTCGTGATCTCACTTGTGACCCCCGTGACGTCACACGTGACCCTCGTGATGTCACACGTGAAGTCATGTGTGAAGTCATTATGGGAAATGTCTCATAATGCAACGCACAGTTACGCCGATAGCAACGCCGACGCCGACCAAGCCGGAAACAGGCGCCTTAGAGCTGCGCTCTAAGATTAGCAATCCCCCGTTAACGTACAGTACGGTCAGGGCGATAGCTGCGACAGGTCACGGTGAATTTGTTGGGCATCGGCGTCGCCTTCTCGCACCGTGGGGTGCTTGAACGAAAGAGTTGGGAACAAAATAGAAATGGGGATCCCTAATCTACGCCGAGGGACCGAGGAACCGGGACATCGCCACCTGCTGCAGTTGCCGCTAGCACCACCGACCGATTGCAGCAGGCGACCATGCCCCAGTCCCTTGGACCCACTTGGTCATGCCGTGTAGATTAGCGCCCCTGTTTCGTTTCAAACACTTTTATTTCTTCTGGTTCCGGAGCGCGTGATAGCGCGTCTCCCGGCACGAGTTTTTGGCATTGACGGTGCTACAAGAACATTTCGTGGTAGGATATACTCTGTTTTTACAGCGGAGCTGTTAAAAGACACATGCAAAGGAAAAAAAAAAAAATTTTTTAAACAGCTTAGATGGATAAAGGATATGTTAAAACGATTTTACAACGAAGAAAAAACATTTTTAGATCTATATTTACGGCGCAAAACGAATTTGTAGTTGGCGCCCGCAGGAGCCGCCACTGGTCACTCGGTAGACCTGTGGGCTGCCGCGCTGCGTCGCCGCCGCTGCAAAGTCGCGCCGCTGCCGCGCGCTGAGCATTTTGCGGCACCACTTTAACGCGTTTCTCCACGCGGCCATCGCCGCACAAGTTTGTCTGCTTCCAGGCGGCGCCGCCGTCATCTGACTGGCGCACAGATCTGTCACGTCTGCCTGCGCTTTTTCAGGAGTTTCCTTTGGGCTCTAAAAGCTATTTATTAATCTTAGTTTTTTTTATACTTCAAACAAAGATGAATAAGTTACTTTTAGAGGCCATAGGAAGCTTCCGAAAAAGCGCAAGCACCACGTGACAAATATGGACCCGTCACGTGATAAATATGGTCCACTTTTCCACGGCACCCGCGGGCGCCAACTACAAATTCATATAGCACCATAAATATAGCTCTAAAAAACTTTTTCTTAGTTGTAAAATCGTTTTATGATATTTTTTTTCATCTAAGCTGTTTAAAAAAAAATGTTTTTTTCCTTTGCATCTGTCCTTTAAGGGGAGACACCCCCTGGGAGGGTCAACTTTTGAACCCTTGGGTTAAAATTAATGAAATTTACAGGGTAGGCTGGTGGTCCTGCTAGAGGGTGCATAACAAAATTTCAGGTCTGTCAGTTAAATGGGAAGGAAATTAGGGCAGCTTCTGTCAACAACACCCCTACATTGTTTAGTTAATCTATCGTCGGAAAACTATCACTATATTCAAGATTTTTATTCGCTAGATAAGTAGCAGAATGCCTAGGAGGTGCGCCTATGAAAAGTTGTTTGTAAAAAGTCATTGATTTCTATCAATTTTCTCTTCTGCAAAATTGGTCAATGTTTTCGTCTTCTGTGTCTCCGACAAAATGTCAATATTTTTTATAAAAGACATTCGTAAAGTGACAAACAAACTCCATAGGCGTTTGTTTATTTATTATCCTTATTAAATTTCAGTCAGGAAAAGTGAAGAACGAGCCTTCCCTGTATTGCCATTATCAAACGATAGATTGACTAAAATGGATTTTATACCAAAAAGTGGAACGGAGAAAAATGTGTTCAAAGTCCTCCAAACCCTACCTTTTCTTTAGCTTCAATGGACAGAAAATAATTTAAAAAAAAATAACTATGCAGTGTAAACTAATAAAAATTTCTGGGAATACCCTCTGGATGTAGATGGATGTAAATATGTAATTTTTCAAAATCAATGTTTTTTGCAGAATCTTTTTTCTCTGGGTAGTGTCCCCCCTTAAGGGGGTACTCCGGCGATTTTTTGAGCTACCTCAACTAACTACATTTTCTGACTCCCCGACCTTTACCCTTTCCGGTATGTTATTTAGTATCGCGAAATTCATAGTAGTTATTGCAAAATCGGCAAATGAAAATGATGCAAAAACCAACATTCAAATATACCCATACTTTTCAGTGCTGTGACGTCAGTGGCGGGCAGGCTTGCCAGTTGAGCGAGCAGTCTAAAAAAATAAAATATGCCAATCATTTCTTCGGTGCTGGAGCGAGCTTCCAAAGCCTTTATTTGACACCATCAAACTGTATGTAATCAATTGGGAACAAATTCTACAGTCCAAAGAGTGAACCCCTGCCTTCCACTGACGTCACTTCTTCGTTGCTGCCAGTAGAGACTTTCAGTTTGAAAAACACTGTGAGGACCAAAATTGTAAATTCAATAACTTTGTGAAAAAAAAAGTTATTTTAACCTAATATTTGGGATAATATTTTAGCAATGTTGTTTGGCGAGTTCAGCGAAATTTCAAGCAAATCGCGGACCATGAAGAAACTGCCGGAGTACCTCTTTAAGGGCTAGTTTCCCAGGATTGTGCCCCCGCAAAGAAATGTCGACACAAAACTCTGGACAGCTACCGCCACCTATGAGCGACGGCGGCAAGCCCCATATCTGGTTGCCGCCGTCGCTCACAGATGGCGGCAGCCTTTCCACTCTGGCTTGCCGACTTGCGGCCGGCCATTACTTTCCATTGTGCAGCTCCGCTGGTCTTTCTTGTTTACCAGAGTGGCTGAAAGATTTTTCTTCAGAGCACGCGTGCAGTGGTGGATTTACGTTTGGTTTACGCAGGCAATCTTTTTCGAGGATTCCGCAACACTAACGCAGGGCCCACTACATAGCCCTACATCGCCAACTACAACATCAAAAATGATGACTACTACATCTACTACAACATTAACAACATCAGCAATGGACATTATTTCAAGTGGTTTGCAAAAGCCCATAAGTGCTATTGCTGTAAATGAAACAAAATGAATGTGAGGTGCTTGTCCTGTCTTCTACATGCACTTTGTCTTTTGCACCAACTGTTTTTGTGGCAAGAGTTGTCCCCTGGAATTTTTGACCCAAGGCGCATGTTTCGAGCCCGGCCAACTCGAAACAAAATCTATCGCTCTTAAAGAACTCCCAACTCTCACAATTTTTTTAAGGATAGGATGCATTACATGTCACAAACAAAACTGACCAAATGAAGTTAAAAAATCAAATGCTACGGTTAAGTATCATAAATTTGCAAAACATGCCTGTAAAGTTTGTACCCATTGACCACAGGTTTTGGTACTGCATCTCGGATTAGAATCATATTTTACTTCCTAGAGACAAACATCCAGCTAAGCCCTCTCTACCAAAAATCATCAAATAGCATCTTGGGCAGTGCATTGTGGTGTTTGACACGACAGAGAGACGAGCGGAAGAAAAAAAGAAATAAAACTGGCTTAAAGTTTATCCGCTTCCTTTTGCTAAGCAAGGCTTACCCTGTAGGAAAAGGATGTTTTCCTTTACAGTTTTGTCTCATGTGTCTCGTCACCTGCCGTACAGTCGATCGTGTTTCCTGAAGATTCTAGAGATCATCCATTTTACCCCATGTTTCTGCTCAGTGATGAACCTTTAGCCTCCTTTTAGATTCTCTTAATCAAACTGGCTATTTAAGACGGATCTACCGTTTTAACCTCGGATTAATTACCTTTTTAATACGTTACCAATTCGTTCGGCTTGGCACACTATAGCCTCGAGGACTGCTGTGCCAGCGGACTCCTAATCGTCGTCCTAGACATAATCGAGTCTCTGTTGGTGTTCCAAACTTCCTCTTAGCATTCTTGATTTCCAGTGAAGAATATTCCGGGGTATTGGGAAGCAAGACTCACGGTGGCGTAGCCGCATTCCGTGCGGGCACTGTGGGCGATGGACTCGAGGATGTCCACCCCAATCTCGAGCAGGTGGGGGTCCTTGGTCGCCTGGTACAGGTACATCACACTCTCCACAAGCTCTGCGGGCAAAAGGGCCAATTGCCCACCTTGCAGCCCCCTCTGCCAAGCGCTATCAACAACCTTAATAGAATAATATTTTGCAAAAACTTTTATTTTGAGTCTCATTGTTTTTGATTATTTTTGAATCCTCATATTTCATGTATAAAAATGATTAGTGCCGGTTACAATTGCAAACTTCCTCAAATACCCCTTTGAAAACCTCCCGGTAACCCAGAACGGCCTAAATCTGAGCTATTCTTCTCTGCGTGGTTCTTCAAGTTGCGACGTCTCCCAACGTCACATTTACGTTGAGATGAAGGCCTATCTCCTCTTCATCTTAGTCTTCTGTATAAAGTGACCAGACGTCCCGATTTAGGCGGGACAGGTCCCGCTTTTCCGGCCGTGGTCCCGCTGTCCCGCCAGCGTGCTTGTGGTACGCCGTTTTGTCCCGCTTTTGCTTCTCGAACCGCGGATAGATGAAAGATTCCGTTAAACGAAAGGATCGCAGCGGTGGGAGGGTGCTTCCTCAGATCAAGGAACAAGATATGCTCGAAAGAGAAGATGCTGAAGGTTAATTGGCGTATGACATGTGAACAGTACTATGGACATAGTACACAAAAATAAATACATTAATACTAAAGGAATATTCCAGCCAAATGTGTTAGATATTTGCAGGCCACACAGTACGCAAATTGAGGGAAAAAAGAGATGCACACGGTGTATACGAAATAATGAAAAGGTATGATTTGTTACCGAAATTTAAACTTTGCAAGTCTCGCAACACAATGACCCCCCCCCCCCCCCCCCCTTCCCCCCGATACGCGTCTTGGTTTGGGGCCCGAGGAATACGGTCACTTTACTTCTGTAGCTTCAATTTTCCGCAAAACATTAAAAACATTATTAACAATTTTTTGTGTCATTTTGGGGCATTTTTACTGCTTACACACAAGAATTCTTGTTTGTGATATTTATATTCAGGAAAAAATTAGGAAACTTTTGTGAGCTCATTAAAAATGTCAGTTTTATGATTTCCAATTATTTTATAACGTAATATGTCTCGCGCACATTATTTTCATTGTTCATTGCACTGAATGGTTCACAAGGAGCAAATTAGCTTATTTTACTAGGCTCTCAAGTGTGTTGCCATGTCCCAGATGTGCGCGAGGTTTTTTCAGCATGCGTATTGCATCCCGAAGATAAAAGACAAGCTATATCAAAACTGACGGCAGATTTAAAAAAAGGGAATCAAACACACAGAACTGCAAAAATTTAAATCAGTTATTGCATATAAGAAAAAAAAATGTTTACCCCTGGCGCATGTCCCCTTAACTGCACAATTGTTTTCACACTCGTGCGTCATTTGAACGCAGTACAGTGGACTCCCATTAAACGAAACTCGCTTAAACGGAAAATTCGGATAAACGGAACTCTAAAGGTTGTTTCGGTTGGTTTCCTATGTATTTAATGATAAATTCTTCGGGTAATCGGAACCCCCCTTTTTGCTTACTTCGGTTAAACGGGACCGAAACCGAAACTACCCATGGCGACCGCGGACATCGGAAATAGTTACAGCAGTCTCACAACCATGGAGTACGCAATAGCCAAGACTGAGGACACTTTAAAGGGAAAGGGGTTGTGTTAGAACAAAATTTATACAAATATTATTATAAAAAAAAAAAAAAAGTTGTTAGGCTAGGTGGCGCGAGGTGCCGCTCGTTACAAAGGGTACGGTACAGCCATTCATCCATCCATCCAAGCCATTATATTAAGGCAATCCAATCCAGTCTTTCTACCGCCATTAGGGTTAGCGCCTCGTCTGTTGCGCGTCACGTTTACCATCGAGTACACAAACCAGCGTCCGCTTGCCGTGTTGTGATGGAAGCGGTAAAAAAGCGGCCGCACCAAGCGATCTCGCTTGCTACGAAAATGAAGATCCTTCAAGAGCTGGATCGTGGTGACCTCTTGAAGACGGAGATCGCAAGGAAGTTCGATATCCCGAAGTCTACACTCTCAAGGATATCAAAGGACAAAGAAAAGATTCAAGACGCTGTAAAGCGCGGAAGCTTTGCCACCGACCGAAGGAGGATGCGAAAGACGCCTTTTGAGGAAATAGAGAACGTCCTTTTTCTCTGGTTTAAGCGCGCGCGAAGTGCTAATTTCCCGATCAGCGGCCCCATCCTCGAAGAAAAGGCTGGAGAGATTGCGTCTCAGTTGGGAATAGATAACTTCAAAATGAGCGACGGTTGGCTCAGCCGTTTTAAAAAGCGCCACGGCCTAGTCTTTAAGACTATTTCTGGGGAAGGTGCAGCAGTCAACAGAAACCTTTGTACCTCCAAGGCATGCACACCTACTTCGTCAAAAAGCGATTACAAAATGCAAAACAAACTACCATTACCTCTTTTTTCTAGTCAGCTACATTAGCTGGACATCATGCTTGTGGGGAGGCACTCACTTGATCGAATGACGTTTTAGCGAACGCCCACGTTTCATCGAACGACACTTTAGCGAATAGTCGGACGCCGCGAAGCGGCGTTTTCGGGTGGGCCAAATGGGTTCACATTTTTGTAATGAGTTGCCGAAGACTGTCGCCGCGAAGCGGCGTAAAGCGCAGCGCGACGGATGGGTTAACGCGCGCCCCCGTTATTCGCTAAAACGACCATTCGCTCAAATGTCGCCGTTCGCTAAAATGTCATTCGCTCTTGTGATATGGACCCATGCTTGTGAAATAAAGTCATATTTCACTCATTTTATGTGCTTTGCTTTAATGAAACTTCTGATAAACGGAACAAATTTTTCTGTCCCTTCGAGTTCCGTTTAAGAGGAGTCCACTGTACCTGTTTTAAGCTCCAAACAGGCAAGCGACAAGAACAGGCGCCGCACGCTGGCTACCATAGTAACCACCGCTGGGAGGCGGACTTATGCCGCCACACTGCAACGTCTAGAACAGTTGCCATGAAAACCGTTGCATGGTGCCCGTTTTCGTTGCTTGTGTGGCTCTAAGGCTGGCTTCTCTAAAGGTGTATTCGCACGAAGGAGTTTTTCCCCTAAGGGGATAGATTACTCTTGAAAAAGAATGCTCGTAGGTTACTGAGTGTATACACCAGGTTTTGCAATTGCTAAGCTCTACTAACTGAAAGTTAACAATTTAGAAACGTTGGTTGTCTTTATCCCACAACTGGGCAAGGCTGACATAAATCTGACGTCACTGGCCAAGTTTGTCACACTATGGCGTCCATAAACCGCGTGATCATTTTGAAAAATCCCCGAATGCCCACCCAAAATGAGGAGATAAATGGTAAGAGACATAAGCTGGGTTATCTTTAGGGATGAGACGGCAAAACTTGATGAAACTATAATGATAAACATGGGGGCACGCGCTACAAACCACGCGACAAGGGAACTGATGCTGCAGATCGCGAGCCCGGAAAATTTGCGTTTAACGACATGAATATAATTAGGTAGAACTCCCGTGCCATGGGAAAGGATATCGCAGATTGCAGACACAGCAGATTTGTGTTTTATGGTCAGATAAAGACAAGGAAATCAGCTAGACACTACCCACAAAAAACAATTTCTGCAAAAAAAGTTGATTTTGAAAATTCTCATATTTACATCCACCAACATCTAGAGAGTATTCCCAGAAAGTTTCATTAGTTTACACTGCACAGTTAATTTTTTATAAATTATTTTCAGTCCACCAATGCTAAATTAAAGAAAAGGTAGGGGTTGGAGCACTTTGAATGCATTTTAGAGCGCGGCTCTTAGGCGCCCGTTTCCGGCTTAAGCGGCGTCGCCGTCAGCGTAACCAAGGTCACCCCAAGGTCACGTTACCCTCAGGCCACGTGACCCCCCAAGGTCACCCCAAGGTCATCTGACACCCAGGTCACCCCAAGGTCACGTGACCCGCGAGGTCACATGACCCTTTCCAAGGTCACCTCAAGGTCACGCGACCCCCACGTGACCCCCCTCCCCGAGGTCACGTGACCCCCCCCTCCCCCCCGAAGTCACGCGACACCCCACAGGTCACATGACCCCCTCCCCCCGAGGTCAGGTGACCCCCCGGAGCATATTACAGAATGAGGGGAGGAGGAGGAGGAGGAGGGGTCTACCCTCCCCTCCTCCTCCTCAAGAGCTGCGCTCCAATTCGGCGTTACGGGGAGTTGTAAACGGCTTTCACTTTTTTTCTCCGTTCCACTTTTTGGCATAAATTTCACTTTAGGAAAACTATCGTTTTATTATTATGTAACATAGATTCATTTTTATGACTTTTTCTGGGGTGAAATTTTAAAGGGAAGATAGCTATAAGCTTGTATTTTTTTATTTTTGTCATTTTTCATTCTGAAGAACTAAAATTTCGGACAAAGGATGGAAATCTAAAGAACCCATTTTAGAGTATGCATGTGCTGTCTGGGATCCAGCCCAAAAAACGTTGATAGATAAGCTGGAGAAAATACAAAACAGGGCGGCTAGGTTTGTTCTTGGACGATACGGGAGGAAAGAAAGTTGTACAGAAATGAAAAAAATGTTAAACTGGGAACCACTTTCCGTACGTCGGGAAAAACTGCGACTAAAATTTTTATACTCAATAGTTAAAAATAAAACGGGAATAAATAGCGAGACTTACTAAAAAGAACCCTATTATGTTTCTAGTCGTAATGATCATAGTCTTAAAATTAGAGAGTACCGCGCTAGGACATGCATGTTTGCAAACTCCTTTTTTGTACGAACAATTGCACAGTGGAATCGGCTGTCTGAAGAGCAAGTGTGCTGTTTCAATGAAGACGTGTTCTTTTCATCCTTGTAACCCCCCCTGCTGTAACGCCCTCGGGCACTGCGGGGTAATCATTGAATAAAGAATAAAGAATAAAGAACAGTATTTGTGTTCATGTGGCTTTTTTGTGATGAAAGATGGCATAATATAGAAATATAGCTTCGTAGCTATCTGCTCTAAACTGTCCTAAAGCAATATGACACATAAAAATGACAAATGTATATGTAATTTGAAAACGACAGTCTTCCTATGCAGACACACCCACTTTCATCTTTAAACATTTGCAATTTCTTTTGTACTTCACCCAGGTTAACAAAATATGGTAGAAGTGTTCTCAACATCAAGAAGCCCTGGAAATTACATTTAAATCGGACAAGTGGTTCAAACATTCCCTTTCTTTGGGTAGAGGAACCGATATTGAATCAATATTGTGTAAACTGACTTACCATTAACAAAATAGAGTTAGCGAAACTATAGTAACATCCAACGGGTTCTAGCGGCAGAGTTCTCGTAAATTAACGTTCGGCGTGTTTCACTTTTTACAACATTAGTATCTATTTTTGTGCCGTCTTTACTTCGTATAAATCCTCGCTCGCGATTTAATACATCCGCAAGGATGTCCTTGCTGATGCTTAGAGGGCAACTCCGCTTCATTTTTGATATTTAGAAAACTATGTAGCCCTCTTCAATATCCTATAGGAAGACCCCATTTCAAATATTACAATCTAATTCCGTCTATATATTTATAAACTGGCCAGCAAACCTTCAACTGAGCCAAGTCGCCGAAATCTGCCAACTCTAGCGTGCGACGCGAGGCGCAATCGTCAGCGCAGTCAAGGCGACGGAGTTGGAGCGGCAAACGTTGAGCCACTACGTCAGAGGCATGTGTACGTCATTCTCACGTTTTGTTTGTTTTTACTTCTCAGAGCGAAATTGAACAATGACGTCATGAGTTTCTCCTCCCGGTGTTGGCTGACCGGGCATTCACGTGGTCACCGCAACGCGGATGCGCCAGTTTGCGCTGCCCTGCGCGCTTATCGGTCTGTTTCTCCGCTTCCTTTCTCTTTCGTCCTCTCCCCTTCCCCCTCTCGCCCGGGCCGTCACCGTCCATGCCATGCGAAGCGACCTGCGCGCGTCGCGTGTCCTGTCCCTCGCCCCCCTCCTGAACGTCACAAGACCATGTGGTTCGACGTGACGTGCCCATGACTCTGACCACATGAGACCAATGTTGCCTGATGCAACTGAAGTTTCGGTTTCGGTATCAGCTGGTGTTTAAATTAGGATTACACAAATAATATTTCACATTTCGCGAATCCGAAGACGTAGAGTTGTTTAGTAGTGCTTTGTAAAATGGAATCACATGTAAGCCTAAATTTTTCGGAATTGAGCGGAGTCGTCCTTTAGGAGACGGTGCTCTCCTGTTTTTTGGACAGACCGCCCAAATTTTTAAAACTATTAAAAATTATTTGATCTGTATTCTATTCGGTTTCAAAATTCAGCATTTGCACGTCCCTAGACAAGGTGCAGAAAAATTGAAGGAGGCAAGGAAAGGAGCAAGTTTGCAGCGCCAATGACGGACTGCATGCCACGCAAGTTTCTTTCTTCCTTCTTTACTCCTTTGCTTTTTCGTGCAGTGTCTTCTTTTTTCTCACTTTGCTATTTGTTTCCTTTTCTCTTTCCTTAATACGTGTCAGTTGTGAGTCCGTGCCTCTTCATTCCGTGTGTCTTCTCTTTGTCCAGTCCTTTCGTGCGCCGTTTTCTCGCGAGTCTAAAGACGTGAAATCACCCCATTTGACGCATTATTACGGCGATAGCTGCTACGGGGACTTTCCCCTACTTGAAATGATTTAGGGCGATGTGGGGCATATGTCGTCGACATTGCCGTATGCTCGAAACAAGAAGCCCGCCGCAGTTTCGTTAGGATTCAATCCCGGGTCCGCTAATTATGAAGCGAACACGTTACAGCGGAGCTACGCCACTGCTTCAACGTGCCGCTTGGTGAACTGCCTGTTTTTGAGACACCTGCGCACATGAGTCTCGTGCAGTGCACACTAGATGGCCGCAGTTGCCGCGCCGTTGCCTCGCTCCATGAGAGTCTCGCATCGCACTCGTTAAAGAGCTTTTGTGCGAGCAAATACACCACTCCTAAACTACAGGGCGGCGATGGCTCCACGTCAGGGGGCAGGGTACGTAAAGATACACTGGGACCATTACGATTCTGCAGGTATTGCTAGGACTGTCTGTGGGTTCAAGCGCGACTGCTCATTTTAAAGCGGCAGCTTTAGAGGGCCAACCAACCTCAGGAGCCGCATAAGCACAAAACATGTAGGACAGTCAGTCTGTAACCGCTGAACAATCTTGAAAAAATTAAAGGGCAACCGGTGCCCGGGATTAATTCTGGACATCAGCGTGGAGGCTGAGTGCGCCGCTGACTGAGTTACGGACACTGCAAGCAGGAACAGGAGGAGCAGAAGCAGGTGGTGTGGGAAAGTGCACGGAGCGGAGAGGGGTGGAAAGGGCAAGGAAGAGGGGAGTAGAAACAGGAGGTGTAAAAGGAGCGTGCAGAACGAGTGGTTGTGGAAAGGGCAGGAAAACAGCTTCCCCTCTTTTGGTGATCCAGAACATTCAGCGCAAAGGCTTTGTATCCCGGGGGTGCTGAAGCAAAGCGCATGCGGCGTCACAAAGAGGCAATGGTGCGACGTAATCCGTTTTCACACCAAACCCTGCCCTAGGCATCACCTGAACTAACAGCACCACCCATCCAAGGCACTGAAAGACTAAGGGTCATCCTGCCCTACGCACCACCCAAACTAAGAACATCACCCACCCTATACATCTACCGCATTTAAACACATTTCGCAGAATGACCAAAGATGCAGCCAATCTTTTTTTCTCCAATCATCGTGGAGGGTTTCCTTCGCAGAGAGCAATCCCTCGCCTTATCCAACCGGCTCCCGAGACAAAGCTCCCAGACCGGGGCACCCAAGGGACGTGGCTCCACGTTCCAGGATGCGGAACTCTGGTCCGAAGGATCCGCGGAGCTCCCCGGCCGGGATGGAGGATGCCTCACCTGGCCTCAGCGGGTAGCCGTCCCTCTTGGAGTTCGCCTGGCTGTGCACCACGTCGTAGAACTCGGGGGTGAAGCCGTACTGCCGCCACACCTGGTGGTAGTTGTACAGCGACTTGCGGGCGCCGTCCAAGTCGCCCGTCAGCGTCTGCGAGAGGGTTTGCGCGATCAATCGTGAGAGTTCGCACAATCAATCGAGAGGGAAAGGTCCGCCATTTTCTCACGCATTTAGGCCACTTTAGAGCAGTGGGGCATAGAGGTGCTAAGCAAGCTGGGCTAGAGTCCTTCGATACGCTTCAGGTCACTAAATTTCTCCGCGACGTAAAGAAAGAGCTTGGTCCGTGACGACTTGCGGCGCTGGCGTCCACGAAAGGGCAGAGAGCCGCCGATCTAGCCTGCACCTCTTGGGGCCTGGCAACCAGAAAGTGTAATCGGAATTTCAAATCCACCCAAAATGAGCCAGCGCTAGATTGCTCCGACGCATCATCAAACTGATGGGGTTTCTCATTAAAGGGCCCATGAAACAAATTTTGGGCTGGGATAGATCAATTTAGATTGGGGTCTTACTAATAGCACATCATTCAGTGGGCCAAAAGAAAGAAGATAGAAAGTCAAATGCCTGACTTTTGGTATGAAAATTTGAAAACACAGTAAACTATTTCGTACCTTCTTCCCTTCGTAAGCTCTCTGTCTTTTCACTGTGATATATCTGCGGTCTCCAAAGCGCGTCACCGGGTCCAAACGCACATCACACGACAACGGACCTCACTTATTCCCTTCACCCCTAAGGTGACATTGTGGTGGAAGCTACGCGCTTTTCAAACCAATCAGCCGCCTCCCTTTCATCACCTGACCTCATTCTCTGCGCGTAGGTATGCGCAAGGGAGCGTGATCACGTGGCAGAAGTGTGGCTGGCCCAACAAGCACGTAGCTTCCACAGCACTGTCAGCGTCGGGGGTGAACGGGGTGGGAAAAGCAACTTTTGTCTGAAATTTGAGTGACGGGCTAATCTTCTAGGGGAACAATGGCTCTGTCCGGGTACACAAACTCGAGTCCGAGCAAGAGGGCACTCCCCCGAACTGCTTGGTACAATGCACAATTTTATGAGTTGAGCAGGAAAGCTAAACAGGAAAAAGTTGGAAAATTGTTTCATGACCCCTTTAAAGGGCCTTCGGCTCTGCACATTCAATCAACCGATTCATCTTCCTTTTCTGTAACCTCCTCCAATTTAAAACATTTCTTCCTTCCTTCTTGCCTTTAAGGGCAACTTTGGTCAAAGTTTTTTCATTTGGGATAACAACTGTTTTCAGCTTGGGAAATGTCCCTGAATTACGAGGTATATTTTCATTTTTTTTTTTGTCGAGGTTGTGCATAGTTTTATAAATATTATGGCTTAAAGTTTGGTTTCGGGTGCCTATGGCAAAACCAAAACTATCTGCTAGAGAGAAGGCAACACTGATCGTCAGCCGTACGGCCGCATCGTTACGTCACCGTGGTGCTGCTTTGCTTCATTAATGCTGAGGCCAGGAGGGTTTCCCGCGGGCGCCGCCATTTTGGTGCTTAATGCAGAGTGAGATCATTTGGCGGAGCATTATAATTTGAAAATGTAACTTCCAGAGCCAATAAACCAACGAGCCAATGAAACGAACCGGGAGAGCAATAGCCTCACTCAAAGCCGTATGCGGAGAGAGCTCAGCCATTCCCCGCTATTAACGCTGCGTCAATGTGAGAACCTTCTTGGTCAAACGCAGCGTGTCTGCAAACAAATGTGCCGACCAACCAGAATCGGCAGAACATTGCCGTGTGTGTGGCAGAGTTAGCGACGCACACGGCTGCCACGCGGAGGAATGAATTCGAATCCCACTCAGTCCAGATCTTTCTTTTATTAATTCTGTACCCTCGTGGAATGTTCCAGCCCACTCTCGGCTGTCATCGAGTGTTCTAGTTCGGAACATTCCTGAACACAGCGAGTGCAGAAAAGCGGCGGTAGCGTGCTGCTTTGGGACAGTTGCCCGTTGTCACCGACGCGGGGTGTCCATTACTCTGTTAGTTCGTAGGGACATTTATTTTCAGTTTCACATTCAACTTATATTTTTTGTTTGTGACAATATCCCCAGCACGGATACCATGCAAACTTGCTGTCTAAACAGCCTGAAGATAGCTTGAATTCGTCACACAATTTCAGCAGGAGTTGGGGGTCCCGATTCTACGACGCAGAGGCTCCAAATAAATGGCAAAGATGGCGTCCGACGTACCAGCAGCCCCGGCCAGAAGGCTTCGAGGGACTGGAAGACGGGCATGGTCACCTGACCAGAGGACATGCTGACCCAGAAGAACCAGTCGTCCCGCCGCATGTACTTCTCAATGGCCCCCTTGTACGCTGCACTTGCAGACAGACACACAGAAACGGCGTCAGTCGGCACCGTACAATAATGCCACCACGACTCGCATAACTGCCGTGGCGTTTATGCACTGAGGCCATGTGCATGTCTACTTTTCCACAGAGCACTTGCAGAGCCAAGCACAGTGATCTAAAGCACATTTAGAGCTAATCAGTGATCCAGAACACTTGAAAAGCAAATCACAATGATCAAGACCACTCTAAGAGTCAGTCACAGTGATCTAGACCACCTGAAGATTCAACCACAGTGATCTAGAGCACTTGAAGAGCCAATCACGGTGATCTAGAGCACATTCAGAACCAATCAGTGATCTAGAGCACTTGAAAGGCAAATCACAATTATCAAGACCACTCTAAGAGTCAGTCACAGTGATCTAGACCACCTGAAGATTCAACCACAGTGATCTAGAGCACTTGCAGAGCCAAGCACAGTGATCTAAAGCACACTTAGAGCTAACCAGTGATCCAGAGCACTTGAAAGGCAAATCACAATGATCAAGACCACTCTAAGAGTCAGTCACAGTGACCTAGACCACCTGAAGATTCAACCACAGTGATCTAGAGCACTTGAAGAGCCAATCACGGTGATCTAGAGCACATTCAGAACCAATCAGTGATCCAAAGCACATTAAGAGCCAATCACAGTCATCCAGAACTCTTGAAGAGCCAATCACAGTGATCTAGAGCACATTCAGAGCCAATCCACAATCTAGAAAACGAGCCAATCAAAGTGATCTACAGGGTGTTCTCGACATGCACTGAGGCCGTAATGGTTAAAGCGCTTGACTGTCGCGCGGAAGGTCTAGGTTCGATTTCATTCAGGAGAATGTCCTTTTATCTATTCGTTCTACTTTGCATTCTCGCAAGTTCGAGAACATTCCCGTCTGATTGAGTTCCAAAGGTTCTATGCGCCACAAATTCTACGCCGAATGTTCCAGAAACCCACGTGGGCACATAAGGGACTCCGCATGGCGAGCAGACTCAGTCTCACTCCAGCGTTTGATGCTGCTGTTTCGCCGCCATCGACGCCTGTGACGATAGCCTTGTCTATTTTGTTTTGGGCACATATTCGCCCCACTGATTGTTTAGTTTGCTTCAGTTTTCATCGCCTCATCATTGTCAATCGTGACAATGTAGTGTGTCAGAAATAACCAGGCACGATATAAAATGGGCCGTAAAAATTGGCACAAGCACGTAGCAGCCTAAACTTTTCGTTGAAGGTGTATTTTACAGGTTGGTTTTATCTTGTAAAATTACAAAGCGTATCTTTCTTTCTGTAAAAAATGGGGCCAGAAAACTTGCTGAGTCGAGTGGTGGGGTGCGTTTGGAGCACATATTGATAGGTGGCACTACCTCCTTATCGAGACTGCTCAGGAGACTATGGTGGACTAAAATGAACAGTATCTTTTTGTAATGTACCTTTGGTTTAAAAATAAATGCGGACAACGAGAGCAAAACTTGAAGTAAACCAAATTTAGAAAGAAAATACCATTGCATAACGACGGTGCTCTTGCTGCCAACGAATTTCGTCTGCGTGTCGTTTGCTTTCTTTTGCTAGTCAGCGACACGTTCCAATGCTGCTCCCAATGCCATCCATCAATACGTGCGCCAAACACGCCCCACCAATCGACTCTGTCGTCTACATCGCCGTCCGCCGATGACCCGGGCAAGTTTTCTGGCCCCATTTTTTACAAAAAAAAACAACTACGCTTTATAGTTTTACGAGATAAAACCGACCTGTGAAATACGCCTTTGACAAAAAGTTTAAATTGCTACATGCAGGCGCCGATTTTTACAGCCCATTTTATATAGAGCCGGGTTATTTGAGACACCCTATATATACATGTACATATAGATACCGTATTTTCCAGACTATAGTCCACACTTGGCGTATAGTATGCACATAAATAAAAAATTTTCATACATGACATACCTCGACAAATTACCACTTTATTGGCTCACAAAGAAGTTGGTATCGTATAGAAATCCTTATTAAGATAACCTGACACAGACAAGATCCATCATATGTTGTTATAACGAACAAAGTTTGTTAGTCCGCATCACGAAAAATAAAATATTATTAGTAGGAATAATCTGCAGACTATTGGAAACTCCGGTGAAAATGCCGGCACCTAGTGGCTAGAAGGGAAAGCTGTGGTGGTGGGCTTGCCCGGCAGCTTTCTGGAGCAAATCAGATATTTGCAACACCTGGCGGTTTAAAGAAAAAGCCACAAAAGTACAGAATGACCGACCAAAAAACTTACAAGGTTGGGGGGCGGGGGGCCGATTCAGATCCCAAAGTTTTAGAACTAACCGTTATTCAAAACACACAAAAAAAGTAAATTCTTTTGGGAGGACACGCTGTTGGTTCGTAAGCATGCGACGAAAACTGGCAATAGCCTAGAAAATATGGCGCTTTCCATGCAAGAATGAGGGGCAAAGAAAACCCGAGAGTGCCCACCTGCGAACATGCGCACCAGTTGGGGCATCTGCAGCATGACGGCCCCCTTGACCAGGTACTCGTAGTATGAGTCCACCCCGGCACCGATGCCGGCGTCCACCGCAGTCCACCTTCCGGTCTGCACATCAATGTGGTTGCCCACCTGCCAAACAACAGATGCATTCATCCGGCGACGCCCTCAAATCGGCCCCAGAGCCACGCGCCATTTCCCCCTTCTTGGCTCTCGAAATCAGAGTTGACAGCTACCTGAGCCTTTGTCCAAAACCGCAGGAAACGTTTCTCCACCCTTTGGAAATGTTACCAACGGTCTGCGATAAGAAAGATGTTGCCCCAGGTTCTTGACACGGAAGCCAAAGTCGAGGAAGTTGCTTATTTTAATTGTGACCGCAGACAGTTGCGCCCACTCTGCACCAAGTACTCGGATGGAGGCAGCTGCAAGATGCCCAATTGGCGACTGGAGTGCTGATACTCTAAGGTTTTATGCCTGGACAAATATTTATTAATCTTTCAATCAATCTTTACTTGTGTAAGAACTCAAGGGCGGACGGGGGTATTAAAATAGTAAAAAATATCTAAAAATTCTTTTTTCAGAAATCACAATTTTGAAGCCTTCATGGTGCACAGAATACTGTCCCAAAATATGAATGCTCAATTCGGTCTCTAAATATTACAAAAAAAAAAAAGAAAGCTGGAGGTACACCTAAGCACTTCTCATGAGTTGTGAATGCGAAAGCATAGAAGCCCCTCCAATGACGTGCATGCTAGAGGCAGCACCACGTTGGTCGGCAGCCAGACAAGCAGAAGCAGCGCCGGCAATGTGGATGATGGAGGCGACGGCATGTTGGTCGGTGGCGAGACAAGCAGAAGCCTCCGAGCATGAGTTAACGTGTCCGTTTCAACCAGCGTGGGGCCCGTGCGGCACGGGGTTGAGACAGTTAGTTTTATTGGCGCGCTGCAGCACGGGCGGCGGTCGTTGAAACTGACGTACGCAGCGGCCAATGGGTTGTCGCCGCGCACCAGCCAATCGGACCTTTGGGATCAAGGAAACTAGGTGCCGTTTTCGTGCTTCAAGCTGATGACGTCGGCTCGCTCCATGGGACCAATTAATGCTTTCGCATTAAAACACAATTTGTAAACATTGAAGAGCCTGACCGGCGCCATCCTGATCTTGTTTGAAAGCTGATTTCTTGCGCTTCGTTTTGGCGCACTTCAAAGTGGCGTCGGCATCGATATGGCGATGTGCTCCATGCTTTACAGAAGAGCATGAGCAGAGCTCAAGAGGCACCAATAATTCGAAGTGCGCACTCCTCCAAAGTGCCGCTGTCCAATAGGTGACCGGCGTTTGGCAGCAGCCGCAATGCACTCTGGGTATTCTTCACTTCCGGTCCGTAGCTGGCAGCCGACGCATCCCCATGACGGCCATGGAAGGGTGTGCGGGTATTCAACCTGATCAATAGGAGCCACCTCCCTCTGCTGCTGGGTGACTTACCAATTTCTGAGCTTCTCAAGTTACTTCTACGCATATCTTAAGTGGGAATCGGTACGCAGAGACATCGAGAACGGTCACGAAAGCGCGGAGCGAGTGCGGCCGGCAACAAGCTGCACTTGCGCCGCGCTTTCCGGATCTCTGCATAAAAACTCGGGCTAGGATAGCTACCTTGTTTTCCGTTTGAGCCAGCGTTCTTCGTTGCATTTATTTTTGATAGTTACATTAGATCACATTACCAAGTGAAATAGGTGACGTGGCTAGCAGAAATGCCCGATCGGAACTTTGGCGCAATTTTCTCGCGCTACTGAAAAGACACTTTCATTCAAAAGCTACTTTCAAAGGCATCGGATTACGCGAGATGCCTTTCTTTTAAACACTCGCGCGTTCTTCGTACTTCAATTAGGCTGTCCCCTGAGTGCCATGTCTCATCTCCGGACATTTTCTTTTTAATTCTTTTTTATGATGCTGAGTAAGAAAGCACGCACAAATGTTTACCAATTCTGATGTCTGCTACGCAGGGTCGTACGACCGCTTTATTATCCTACAAGATGAAAGTTCTGCCTTCTTGTTTTTGTTTATTTATATTATAACGAACTGAGGATCAGGTTTATGTGGTTGATATCCGTTGGGCCGAGTTTTCACGAGTTCTCGAAAAGCGACCAAGCTATAAATCTTGAGAGCCCCTAGACCGGAATACATCCCAGAGCCTCTGCTGTCGATAAAACTGTCTGTCGACAAAACGTAGTGCGATGAACTGTCTGTCGACGAAACGTTGATGAAACTGCCTGCGAAGATCACAAGCAATCTGATGTCGCGAGATCACATCCTGCATGGATGCGTTGTACGAGAAGCCGTGCTTACTCCTTCATAAATTAATCGAGACCTTTTTCTGGGTGTCAATACTCTCCGTTTGAAATCTTTTCTTCACGCAGCTCCAACCTGAAGAAAGAGAGAACACGTTGTGCTGACCTGTGCCAAACTGGGCCACGCATAAACGGGCACCGATGCTTGGCTTTCACAGGTTACTTTGATCCGTCACTCGCTTAACAGCTGCAACGGCCCATCACTGCTTCTGTTCGTCGTACCACGAAGACCGGAACATCTTGTGCCCTTTATGGCTCGCGTTAGAACAACCTACTGCAGAGCAGTGAACCATTTTCATTGCAAATACAGCACGGCCACCACGCCTAGAAGGGCTCTCGATGCAGCTGGACTAACCGCGACCGGCACCGGACGAACCGGAAGCGTGAAGTCACGTGACGCCTTGTCTCGGATAACGAAACTTTCAGCTCAAACGCCGGTAACCCATTGGCCTTAGCGTGTGCCTCCTCTCCTCGCTTCCCCGACTTGCACTCTCGCCTGCTCCACGTCGTCTGCTTTCGTTCGCCATGCCGTCCGAGACGCACACCACCTTTGCTCTTCTCCACTTCCTATTTTGATATTGTTCTCATCTGCTTCGTGCTTTCTGGTGTTTTTTGTGCCCTGATTCTCCTCCCATCCTTCGTGTACATATTGTGGTCCCCCACTCACTTTTCTTTTTATAGCTCGTCATTTTTGTGTACATTTACCTGCTTTGCGTCAGTGTTCCGTTTTGTTTTGCTCATTTTGATGGCGAGGGACACCCGTTCGAAAGTGAGCACGCAAGAAGTGCACAGTAAACGTACACGTGCTTGGAATAAGAAAAGCACCGCGTCGTCGAAAACGAAAATGTCAACTTCGGTAGTACCACATGAAAAACCAAGAACTTTGGCAGCACCGCGAGGTACTTCAGGAACGCTGCGATGCACTTTACTGCCGATGGACTTCGCCGGACCAAGCTCGAGCACCAATTGGCCCGATAAACGCAAAGAATCTACAGAGGACACGGGTTCTTTGATAGCGAAGTCGGCGACTTCACGAAAGATTGAGCTCCTTGACGCCAGCTTGGCGAGTGAAGGCAACAATCGCGGCACACTGTATGCCACCGTGGACATGAAAGTGCCGCAGAAGCTCTTTGCGTCCACAACATGTGGCAAGTGAGGAACAGCCGCCATCAACTTTGAAAGTGCGACAAGAGGCAATATGGCCTCGCCGCAAAGCTAGTGCTCTTGAGCGCCACTTTTCGTCGCCACGAGTCACTGGAGCAGCCAAGATCACGCCCTCTGAGATCAACTTGAGAGCAACAAAGGGGATTCAGAGTCTAGGAAAGGGAGCGACCATCCTCACGGACTTCAGTGCCACCCTGAACCTCTCCCACGGGGTGCTCCACAGTAATACCTTCGGCGGAGATAGGGACGCCATGGTGCAAGCTTGCCAGGCAGTGGCAAAAGCCGCAGAAGCAACAAGTGTGCAGGGGGTGAAGGTCCTGTACCAGAACTTTCTCAACCCCACTGGAAATGTACGGACGTCATTTTTGATGGGACATGGAAGACTCGTGGGCACAACTCGAACGTTGCAGTGGGGTGCATACTCGAGCTGTTGGTCCGGCACCGGACCACATTGTCCTCTCTCAGTGCTGCCGTGCCTTCCAGGGGGCACCCGACCCAGATGACCACGGTGACTGAAAGGGCCTCCAGAACATTTGAGTGCAGTGCTGGACGAATAGAAGCCGAGGCAGGACTGACCCTGTTCAAGGGGGCTCTGGAGAAGAATGGGCTGCGGTACGCGACCATTCTTTCCGACGGAGGCAGTTGCACCTTCCATGCTTTGACGCAAGAAGCTGTTTAGGACTGCCTCGAGATCGAGAAGAAGGGCTGCCCGAACCGTGTGCACGGGTGGATGGGGGCGGCTCTTTGCACCACCTTCGCAGAGAAGAAGGCAGAAGGGAAGTCTTTTGAAGAAGAAGGAAAGCTGACCTGGGACAAGATTAAAAAAATCATAAAGTAGTATGGATATGTATTAAGGACCTACAGGCACTATGTCCAAGGAATGAAAAAGGCGGTGCGGGCAACTTTGTCGCTCGTGACGTCGACAAACGAAGCCCCGGACCACGGCCGCCGTCCAAAAGGTGACAATTCCTGGTGCTTGTACAACCGTGCCCCGGCCAACTATGGGGAGCCATCAAAGTGCAAGAAGCCTCTATCGGGCTTCCTTCGCGCAGCACTGGAGCCGGTCTTTTGGAGGCTGGGCAACCGGGCCCTCTTGGAGGACTGCAGCGATGGCACGACACAGAACTCCACTGAGAGCCTACACTCGATGGTCTGGGGCCTCCAAGGGCACGCGTGACTCTCTGCTGGCTGTGCAAAGGGCCTGAAGCGGTGTCTCACTTCAACCAGCTCGCTCACGCGGAGAGTGAGAAGGTGAAGAAGGTTGCCAAGACGCACAGGTCCAACGGCACCCAGGACTACTGCCCAGGACTCGCGTGAACCTACGCTCGCAGCAGAGAAACTCTGGCGTGATTTTCTGTACTTTTTTTTTTCAATCAGCATCGTTCGACTGAGGTTTTAAAAACAACATGGGCATAAACGATTCCTGGAAAACTTTGTATGTTTGCATTGAGCAATAACCGGACTGCATCCTAAAGCTTTCCTTTTCTTTATAAATGCAGTAGTAAACGTTTTAACATAAAAGAAACTTCAAATCCGATTTTCTGAGGTTTGTCTTTTCTATAAGGTGCCTTTGCCTTAAGGAAGTTTCTATAATGTTCGCATAAATGAATACCAGTCAACTTGGTATTGGTCTTCTTAGCAACAACTGAACTGCATCCCAAGGTTTCTAGAGCCAATCAATAAAAAGTAATTAGCTACAATGATTACTAATTATGGGTACATTTTGCTTGCTTTTAGGTCTGTGATTTATTCGCGGTAAAAAACTGCCGTTATAAAAAATGTATTACCGTATTTACTCGCAGAATGAACACACTTTTTTTTCCAGAAAATCAATGCAAAATTAGGGGGAGCGTTCATTACGCAACGTAAAATTTTTGCCTTCGTATTTACTGGCATAATAAACGGACCTTTTATTCTGAAAAATCGCAGTAACTTCTTATCTCTTTGCGCGCGGCACCCGACCGGTAACCAAACTAAGCTGTGCAAAAAAAAACTGCTTTGTTTTCTTTTTCTATTCCTTCCTTGGTTTTTTTGTTTGTTTTTTTGCGTCTTTCGCAAGCTGTTTTGTTTGCTTAAAGGGCCCATGAAACGATTTTTGAGTTGGGATAAATCATTTTAGATTGGGATTTTACTAATAGCACATCGTTCAGTGGACCAAAAGAAAAAGGTAGAAAGTCAAAAGCCTGACTTTCAGTGCGAAAATTTGAAAACAGAGCGGACTATTTCGTACCTCCTCCCCTTCGCAACCTCTCTGCCTTTTCACTGTGATACAACCGCGGACCCAAAAGCGCGTTATCGGGTCCAAACTGACGTCACACGCAACCGGACCTCACTTATTCCCTTCACCCCTAAGCTGACATTGTGGTGGAAGCTACGCGCTTGCCGGACCAATCAGCCGCCTCCCTTTCATCACCTGACTTCATTCTCTGCAGCCACATTTGCCACGCTCACGTGGCAAGTGTGGCTGGCCCAACGAGAATTTAGCTTCAATAGCACTGTCAGCTTCGGAATGAACGGGGTGGGGAAAGCGACTTTTGTCTGAATTTTGAGCGACGGGCTAATCTTCTAGGGGGAGAATGGATGTGTCCGGGATTACACAAACAAGAGTGCGAGCAAGAGGGGACTCCCCCTTTTCGTCTTCTTTAACTGTTTGGTGGAATGCGCGATTTATGAGTTGAGGAGGAAAGCGAAACAGGAAAAAGTTGGAAAAGCGTTTCATGACCCCTTTAAAGGGCTACTCCACCGATTTTTTCATTGTCTCCGATTTGCTTGAAATTTTGCTAAACTAACCAACAAACATCACAAAAATAGTATCCCAAATATTAGGTCAAAATATTGTTTTTTCGCGAAGTTATTGAATTTACAGTTTTGGTCCTCACCGTGTTTTTCAAGCTCGAAGTCTCTACTGGCAACAATGAAAAAGTGACGTCAGTGGAAGGCAGGGGTTCACTCTTTGGGCTGTAGATTTTGTTTTAAACTGATTCGAAGCAGTTTCATGATGTCAAATGAATGCTTGGGAAGCTCGCTGCAGTACCCGCGCTCCAGCACGGAACAAATGATTGGCATATTCTAATTTTTGGCTGCTTGCTCGACTGGCAAGCCTGCCTGCCACTGACGTCCCGGCCCTGAAAAGCGCGCGTATATTTGAATGTTGGTTTTTGTATCATTTTCATTTGCCCATTTTGCAATAACTATTATGAATTTCGCGATTCTAAATAGCATACCGGAGAGAGTAAAGGCCGGGGAGTCAGAAAATATAGTTAGTTGAGGTAGCTCAAAAAATCGGTGGAGTACCCCTTTAAGGGTTGCTTAGAGGAGGGCTCTCCGCTTATCTTTCGTATCTCCTTGCGCGCGGCGCGCGACGCACGACCCTCCGTAACCAAACCGACCAAACTGCGCTGTGCAAAAAAAAAAAAAAGAAAAAAAAAGCTTCTTTTTTTTTTTTCTCAGTTCCGTGTTCTTTTTTTTTTTTTTGCCGCCTTTCGCAAGCTGTTTCGTTTGCTTAGAGGGCTTCTCCGCTCCTCTTTCTTACCTCCTCGCGGGCGGCGCGCGACACCCCGTAACCAAACTGCGCTGTAAAAAAAAAAAAAAAAAAAAAAAAAAGGCTTTTTTGTTTTTGTTTTTTCTTAGTTCCGTGGGTCGTTTTTTTTTCTTTTTGTCGCCTTTCGCAAGTTGTTTCGTTCGCTTAGAGCGCTTCTCTTTCTTACCTCCTTGCGCGTGGCGGCGCGCGAACCATAAAATCCAGACTGCGCTATGCAAAAAAAAAAAAAAAAAAAAGAAAGCTTTGCTTTTTTTTTTTTTTTTTTGCTTTCGTTCATCTTTGCGAATTTTTTAACGCCTTTTGCAAGGCGTTCTGTTCGCCCACGCTGCCCATGCATTCGCGACCTCGCTGCACCAGGAGAGAAAAGTGCGTTCATTTCGCGCGCGTGGGGGGAGGGGGTCAAAATTTTGACGTCTGAGTTAGGGGTGCGTTTATTACGCCAGTGAAAAAAAAAAAGTCAGAATTTTGAGAGCCGACTTGGGGGGTGCGTTCATTGTGCGAGTAAATACGGTAACTTTAGGGTGTATGGTGAACCCTTGCAACTCATTGCACATTGTAAAAAAATTGTTTTGATAAAAAATTATAATAACTGCTTGTAAGAAATTACCTAATTGGAATTTGATGTTTTGCCATAACTTCTGTTCTAGAGGTGATACATGAAATAAAATTTCAGATACGAAATCACCATCAAAAACTTATCTGCAGGATAAATTTTAAAAAAAGTTGGTCAATAAATAAAAATTATATTTAAGGAGCCACGTCGTTCGATCAAGTATCTTTGCTGTCTGCAAGAATCGAATGTGTGCATCTTTGAAATCAAAATCAAGCAATCCTAGCGTTAAGCGCAAAATCAATGCTCCCATGACAGACTGCTTGCACTCAACAAGCGTGGCTCGCCGCATCTTTTATATGGCGAAGATCTGCCATAGCAAAGTTGCCCGGTCAATTGCAAAGCATTACAGCACTGTAAGTTTGCCTTCTCTTCGAGGGTAAGTGCTCTTCTTTCTTCGGAGGCTACATCCCCTGGTGGCAAAGAATGCGTAGAACGAAGCGAAAGAAATGAATAATGTGCACGAAAAGCTGAAGCACGCGGAAGCAGAAAAAAATTGGAGCCTGGCAGAACGCAGTGGAAAAGAACATCAGTGCTGCCATCTATCGCACGCGACATCCGGCAACTGCCGCCGCCATCGGGTTTTACCGATTCAAAGCCAGGAAAGAAATGCGGCAGTCTTTTTGTACAGTTTCGGTTCATAGTTTCGTAAGAACCAAAACGAGTGTAAGAACTACGCCGCCAGACATTTGTAGGGATTGTGATCCCTCAACATTCTGTCGCGTCAGCGTTTTGGCACGCCGTGGCGGCCGCGCTGACGTAGAGAGAGGTGGTGCTGCTTACCACTGTGAGTGGCTTCCTCCTCTCCCCCTTTGGGGCAATTTTCGTAACGAACCCCCGCAAAGAGGAGATCGACTTTTCGCTCCTTGATTGGCCACTTCGCCCCCGCCGTTATCTTAAAACCAGCGAACAGCAGTATCTCTCTCTTCTTCCTGGGATTCAGTGGCAGCGACAATGGGGAACCGTCCGGCGCACCGGTGAGCGTTTACCCCGTCCTTTGTACCTTTGTGAACGACCGTTCGGCCGTGGGCGATCTCCACACCGACGGCGTTCACCAGCTTATAGCCTCTGTTTTCTTATTTTTGTTTCATTGTAAATAAACAGAGTTTATCTCCATTACCAACGTGACTGGTGTCTGTTTGCGCTCAACGAGCAGCATGCCACGCGAGTACGAACCCGCTTCGCGGTAGAGTGTCTCGCCGTGAACGTGGTACTCCCAAAGGCCACTCACTGCCTTTGGGAGTACCCTAAGGAGAACCACACATTCCAGACTCCATAAATTTGAAATAAAAACTTTTTCTACATAGCTTATTTCCCGGAATGCTTCATTACATCGGGTTTGGGGCCAAGTTTGTTTTGGAATTCCAAGTTCGTAAAAGCATTGAGCCTATGGACAAATGGGGGGGAATTTTCAATTTGTTCGTTAACTAGGAAAATTTGTAATATAAGGTTCCGTAAAATAGAGTTTCAACTGTAAACATACTTCACAAAGCACGCTACAGTTTTTCTGCACGGGACAAGAATTTCACATTTGATGGGCAAGTAGCCTCTAAGGGTCGATATAAATTGGACGAGAACTTGGAGAAAAATGTGGCCTCCTAAGAGGGCGGTGCACACTCCAAAAGTGAATCGGTTGATGCCTACCAGGCCGATGGCCGAGCGTGCCTTCCAGAGGGCCCCAAGTGCCCTCAGCGCGGTCCTCTCGAACACGGGATTGCCGGTGAGCCTGCTCAGAGTTGCAAACTCAAGCAGGAAGGTCCCGACTCCGGCGGTGCACGTAACGCTCGTCTCTCCGCGCGGAACCCCGCTCACCAGGTTCACCGTGCCGTACGGCATGCCGGTCTTGGTCGCAAACGCTGCGGGGAAACGGTAACAACCCTTTTAACCTACTTCGCTGCATCCCTGGAGTTGACTAAAGCCACTGGATCGTAAGAGAGTAGCGCCATTGCTTTCCCTGCCTGCTAGCAGGACGTAAACAGACACAAACACACGGACGACCAAAACCTCGCCGAGCAATTGGCCGAGTGGCACCTGTTGCCATGGTGAATGCCATTTTGACAATTTCAAAGTTTCTGGCTGCCTATACAAGCTTTCAAAGCTTGTATAGGCAGCTTGGGTGCTGCCTATACAATCAACTTGTCAGCTCCGTTTATCTCCGGGGATCTCTTCCAATGATATTGCTCCTCGTGCATACTTCACGACGAGAAAATTGTTATAATGTTATATTATTATAGCATCAATGCCGCACGTGGTGGCGATGCAAAGATGGGAGCTTGTTTTGCTGATGTGTGGATAACAGAAGCTCGGTACGCAAAGAATGTCCTTGTAAAGCAACCCGTCGCCCCAAATTTGGATCGGCTCGCCGAGACTGGCGAGGTCAAGAAGAAATCGGTCGTCCCAGGGGTCAAAATGGTGACCGTACAGGGACTTTGGCGCTAGTTTGCCAGGACGCAGTGACTTTAGAGTCGACTATAGTCGGTGAAAGGCTAGGAAAAGCGGGACAAGTCCAACCCCCCACTCTTTGTGTTTCAGCAGAACGAACGCTGGACGGGAAAACCAGCAATCATGGCGAGCAGAGAGCTTCGTAAGAGGCTTGCACTGCTCTTCCAAACCTGCAACCACAGCAAAACAGACGGCTCGTAAAACACAAACAAAAACGAGAAGACATCTTCACGTCTTTGTTCGTAATATGCCGGCTGTTTGTTTTACTTTCCTGGAGTTAGTATGCGTGAGAAAAATGGAAGCGAGTCACTTTTAATCGAACCCACTTTGACCTCCGGGTGTATAAGAATGAACGCACTAAATGCCAAAAAATGTTTACATCATTCGTGCATGTGACGATCGGCAGCCAGAAGCTAGTGCTGTTCGTGGCAACATGGATTCTTGACTGCTAGAGAAAGGCTAACACCAACCATGGTTTGGTTGGAGTTAGGTGTGGCACACGGTTTGCATCCCGTCCTCATCGCCAATTGTTGCTAGCAACGTAAAGGAATGACTCAATGTGCCTCGATACCATCCCTGGGGCATCTTTTATGTTGTCTATGCCACATAGTGCCACAGACAGTGCTAGCTTTTAGCTAGAGATCGTAACAATGCCCATATGTCAAACGTAACAATAAAACCAACCTTTCTTTTTTTCATTTTTCCCAACATCATTTACTTTAAGTGGTGCTCTCATGATATACAAGATGTATTCGTCAAGGGCCAAATGAGGCTCCACCTGAATTCCCATCATTTTTTTTAAACACGGTTTTATCAGGAAGAAAAAAACTTTGTTTCACCCTAACACCCTTACCGCCGTTTCCGCTGGGGTACAGGATATGCAACTGGAGGCCACATTGCTGCGTAAGATCATTGTTGCCAGTTATCAGCAGCGTTTGCGAATTCCATTCGGTGGGGGCGCACAAGGCAATTTTCATACTCTTGCTTGGAATAAACCATGGTGTAACCGTTGTCACATGTCACATCACTTTGCACCACATTCCAATACCCAACATAACTAGATTCAATAATGTCATTGACACCGTGACGGTGCGTGAAACCACGACTTTGCACCGCGAGTCGCGTGATGCGCCGTGCATCGCCAGGTTCGCCACGGACGGACACCAAGTCTGAGTTAGGCCCGCTTCAGACGGGACAACTTTCCCAGCAATTTTGGTGTTGCTGGCAAGTTGTTTCCTAGCTTCCCCTGGATCCTGGTGCTGCGACACAAATAGACCTTTCGCTAAATTACCCAAGCATCAAAAAGAATGTTGGGAACGTGGGTACACACGCTGCACGTGTTCGCCTTGCCTATAAAAAAAGATTGCAAGTAAATAACCAAAATAAAGTGTCTGTGGAACGCGCATGCAAAGTGTGATTTGTTTTAGATTTTTGCTTTCGAACAGTTAGAGCTGAAGACGCCAGCAAGTGCAGCGCGTGTGCCTACGTCCCCGGCATATTTTTCAATGCCTGGGTAATTCAGCAAAAGGTCTATCGCTTGGATCGCATCCGGCTCAAGGCAGACGAACAACTCAGATAACTCGGAAACGTTTGAAGTGGCAGCAGCCAATCGGGGACGCAATATTTTCACATGACACCCTATCCCGGTGATGATGACATAAGACTTGGTTCTGGTACAAAATGGATAGTTTTTTGGGAATAAACCGTTTCAGAAAGATGAGTTAGTACTCTCAACACCATTTAAAGATATAAAAACACGTTTATAGTGCGTAACTGTGTGTCTACATAGTGAGAAAAACAAATTTAATGATGATGATGGCAAAATGTTGCAATTCGGTTGCTGCGTGTGAATGCGTGGGACCCGTGTTGCGACATCAAGTTGCTGGGAGAAATTGCCCCGTCAAGAGCGTGCCTTAGCTTTTGTTAGAATTCTCTCACAGCGACTGATGCATTGCAAATTGAATGGGTACAAAAGTAATTTATTGAAATTGTTTAGGATCAACAATATGGACGAAGGTTTTTTTATGACTACGCCTACATACTTGAGACTCTCGGTTTGGAAACGACATTAGAGTCGTAGAGTTGGACGAGATATTTCGATGTTGTATAGAATAATTTGCAGCCAAATAGGTAGCAGCTTACTACCGTCTTCCGTTAACTTTGATGTGCCTCTATGCTTTAGCAGGCCCTCAAGTTTGTTTTACCCTCGTTCTCGGGAGAAAGTATGCCCGATCGCAATGGCGTTTCACCAAATACATCTTTAGGTGCTTGTAGAAATTATGTACATTTTAAACAAACTCGAAGATTTGATTTACTCATCTTAACCATATCGTCTTCCTATCTGTGTGTTGTGAAAGTTGTATAATCGTGAAGTTGGGTTGTTTTGAAGCGCAGAATAATAAAGCATTCTTATTATTATGATTCAGCACTACAGTGACTGATACCTTAAGAAACAGGAGGACGTAGCGAGTCCGACGCGTCTTATTCTCGCTTCTTAGTTACCGATGTTGCAGCATTAGCTGACAAGGACGCCGCAGAAGGAACCAAGAAACAGGAACAGGGTGAGTCGGGCATTTCTACAACTGCCCAGTAAGCAGGAAAGACGTACCGGGAAGGAGCCTGTTGGCGACGTCTTCCGCCAGGCGCAGCAGGGGCCCCGAGCAGGGCCAGCCGGGCTCCAGCTCCGCCCCCGCCTGCCGGGAGAGCAGGTGCGCCGACAGCAGGCCGCCCACCACTGCCACGGGGAGTAGACCCTTCTCAAAATGCAGCACCATCTGGTGGCTCAAGAAGCAGTCTCATTTTCAACAAGGCCGTCGGGAAACTGCATTTCAGTTGAGCACACACGCCATACACTGAGATGACGATAGTCATCAAAGTTTCCAGACTGAATTCTAAAAGGTGTTCATCGGGGTACTTACGGTAGAGCCAGCAGTTCAGACCGGTTTTTAATAGCCGGTTATCCATTCATTGGCATTAGTGTATTATTGGAATCTGGAAACCAGATGATCGGGTATTCGAATAACCGGTGACGTTACTCGGTTATCCGACCATTCAGCTCCAATATTTGCATACATTATCCTTTACAGAAATCGAGATGTTTGCCCGTGCAGACTTTTGCCCAAAACCTTTTTCGCCCACATATTTGTTAGATTCTTCGGAGGTGATTCATCCATCCAGCCATTGCACCCCCTGCGACCAAGTTGAGAACTCGTGGGGGCAGACACATAAATTATTTGTTTGTTCCTAGCGCAGTGCTCGGCCGATGTAGCCAAACGCAACATTAGCCTTCGGCCTGGCCTCTTATTCAATCGGCCAAGGAACAATTGACGAGTGCACTCGCTCATGTCAAAGCCGTGCCCCAGGCTTGATCAACACAAATGGCCAAACCAATCCAAACCAACTCTGTAGAAAACAAGCTGGACAAAGTGTCCTCTCTAGTTCACTCCCCTCGCTTTATAAGCAGAAATCAATCCATTTAGTATTACTTTCTAATTATTGGAGGAACATGATGAATTCTTTGTGATTCTAGGACTATTAAATAAAAGTGAAAAAAGTATTATTACGCACGAGATGAGACCGAATAACAGACTTTTAAAGCCGGACTGGCTTTCCTTCAGTCTAACCGAATATTCGGTTGAACAAATATTTTAATGCTCTAGCTTATATCATGAAGAGCTGTAAAACTTGGCTCCTAAACATAAGGATCTTTGACCAAAAGGGTTTTAGCGGCGGGATCGTGCAATTTGAAAGCGTAGCTCTGTTCCTGCGGAAAATTGGAATGGCCTAGGCAGCTTCAGCGGTGTGCGCACACCGAGTCACGTGAGACCAGTGCTCGTGGCACCGTCTCTAAAAGCAGGTGGGGAAGTCAGGAACCAGTCAAGGTTCCCGTTCGACCAGCTTTCAATTTCTTTAGTCTTTAACGCAATGTTTGACAAAAGTTCAACTTAGGTTATGCGCATCTGCGTAAATTGAAAAAGAGCCGATGCCACCTAGTGGAGGAGTGTAACAGACTAAACCATTAAATGATTATATATTCATTTTTATGCCGCACAAGCACCAATAAATATTTTTGAAGATTAAAAAAAAAACTACCGTATGAATTTTCGCAGAAACCAATCTTTGGCTAGGTGCTCAGCATTTCGTGAAGCCTGATGAGCGTGGCCGCAAAGCTCGATGCTGTTTGGTTAACGGGGAGGTCACCTGACCAGGGGGCCCGTCGAGGAGGACACAGGTTGGAGAGGAGCAGCTCGACCACCTGTGCACACTAAGGAAGTGGAGCTCGAGAGAATGGAAGGCTCTGGAAGAATGCCAGGTTTATCAGCCCAACATACGTGAAGCTCAACGTATCGCTGGACGTTTGTGATGTTAGAACATTTCACGTATGCAACAGGATTGCTTAGCAATTTGCCATACATTTCTTTCTCCAGGATTTTGAAGTTTCTTCTTGAGAAATTGGGCAACGCCGTTAAAATGCCGTACCTTATCTAATTTTGCTAAAAGCTGGAAGGCACGGCGAGCCATTTGAACCGCAGGTTCGCAACAGTTTGTGACACCGCAGCAGCAAGCGCTGGACCGAATGCAGACGACGGTTGCATGCGGGTGCTAGTTTAGACAGCCTGAACTTAGAAGAAGCCTGAAGAAGCACGCAAATTCAAAACCCCTAAACGAAGCAGGCGTGTCGCTCTTGTGACATTGTAGTGTCCGGTAAACTCACTGCCATTTGATGAGCTCACGGCATACTACAGCTCGCACTCAGTAAGCAGTGCAGTCAAAGTACCGAAACCATCAGGCCTACAGCCACTGAGCTACGCTTCAGATTAACAACATTGCAGGCTTCTCATTGCATAAAGTCATTATTGCCAAATTATCATATGAATGCCGGCAAGCTGGCGAATACTGAGCATGCTGGGGTAGAAAGCAAACATTGAAACACAGAAGAGACAGAAAATACACAGGACGACGTCTCAATGAGATGTCGTCTATTTTCTGTCTCTTTTACGCTTTGATGTTTCCTTTCTACCCCAGCCTCAGCTGAATTCAACACGGTCATTATCGCCAGTTATCAGAAGTTTTGTCCGAAATCGCAGGAAACGTTTTGTCATGCTCTGGAAATGTTAAAACAGCCTGCAACAGAGCTAATCAACATCTCCCCAGCTTCCTGACACCGCACCTAAAGCTCAGAAAGTCCCATTTACGAATTTCAACTGTCGTTAATCGCATTTGTTCCGCGGCACTAGTCAATAAAATGGTGACACTTGGAAGACTGTCGAGAAATAATGTGTCGACACGCCTATAATGGAACCCGAACGAGATGGTCACAAATTGCTTGCTTCAGAATTAGAAGCCATACAAAATTGTGCATCTTGTTTCCTACTTTCGAACTATCTTCGTGCCTCGAGTGTAACTGCAATAAAATCGCTCGTAATGTAGCACCCGAGACTCTGGAGCGGAAGAATGAGGAAACTTTCGAGTCGCAGAAAAGACAATGGTACGAGAACGTCTCAAACTCAGCTAATTTACTTTGTTTTTCTCGCTCCTTATATACACCAGGTGTCAAAATTATTGACCTCTTCACAGATACACTCTTTGTGTATACAACGACCGAATGACCTATTAACAGCAAGATTTTTGGTACCGGCAGACACATTCATCGAAACTGTACTTTTTCGTTAATAAAATCAACTTTATCATTACCTTTCACAATGTAGAGAAATATTTCGTCCATGCTCGTTTTATAAGATATATTGTAACAATTCCATGTTTAAGTAAAGGCTACTAGCAACATCTTACTTCTCAGCATGCTTCGACCACCATCCCAAGGTTGGCATACCGTCCTGTCGCATAAATCATTTTTACGAGTTTCGTTCCCAACACTTTGTCAATGTGGAGTCGCCTTCCCCGAGCCATCGCCGAAATTCCCGATAACAAACATTTTCCAACTGCCATTACTAACCTCTCTGCGAGGAGCCCTAACTACCGTATAATGTTTAAAAGTTTTGCCGTTTATTACTGCATTTTACTTATACGACCCACTCCCCTCTGTAATACAGCTCTGGCCCCGAGGAGATTGAAATAAACAAATAAATACGGAAAGGTCCGAGGGCCTAGAGGTTCTCCGCACCCCTGATGTTGGTCTCGAAGACCGACACGTTGATGTTGATGTTGAAGTCCATCTTGCGGGCGATCATGGCGGCCACCCTGCGGAACTCCGAGTAGTTTCCCATGACCGTGAGCGTGTCCAGGGCGTCGATCAGCGTCAGCGAGAAGCTGCCCCACGTGTTGACGCCGTCACAGGACAGGGGCCGTAGCTCGTCGTACGGGTACGCGTGCCGCATGTAGCCGTCGTAGGCGTGCTGGAACATCTCCACCACCCGGTCTCTGCACGTGGGAAACGCTTGTCACTCGAGGCACTCACAGACATTCCAACCACCTCAGCCCTTTCCCCCCCAAAAAAAAGTTTTCTGGCTATGCCACTGCCGGGCATGGAATTCCCAAAATTCCGGGAAACACGCGTGTGAAGGCCCATTCACACTCTTGCGACCAACTTCGACCGAGAGAGACCAGACCGGTTTTTAAGCCTTTTGCGACTTCTTAGGACCGGATGCAATGCAGCAGAGCTGGTTCTAAGAAGTCGCAAGAGGCTGAAAAACCGGTCTCTCTCGGTCTAACTCGGTCGCAAGAGTGGGAACGGGCCTTGACCCGAATATTTAATAAACGTCCCTGTACCAGCAATAAAATGAAACGAGATAAGTAATAGATAAGTTCCAAAGCAGGGAACCTTTGGGACAACTCAGGGGCGGCTGTGTTCTGGGTCGACACAAGATGAAGCCATAGACAAAGATTTTCTTCCCGCAAAGCGTAATCTTTTTTTTTTTTATGGACGGCTCCAAACTTCCAGTTTTCTCTAATTTTAACAAAACCGTCTCGGGTTTTATCACCTTTTGTGTAGACGAAGTGTCTAAAGGCTGGTTTACACACTTGCGTTTGCCTACAACCGGGTTCTTACGATCCCTTAGGACAGCACGCTGGCACTGCCTATGACGTGGCCCTGGAATTGCACTTCACTAGAGTAAAGGTTTTGCGGTACTTGCTATACTCTGTTTCACCTCATGATGTACCGCAGGAAAGGCTACAAGCGCGAGCTCCTTGCTCTAGGGCACATCTCGGCGGCATAAGCTTTCGCGCGTCAACAGCAGCTCCCAACGCTATGAGCTCACGCTTCTAGCCTTCTCTGCGATACAACATAAGGTGAAACGGAGTATAGATCAAACGTAAGCACAATCTACGACAGACTGTCGTTCGTAACATCAACAATAGATTTTGCGAGCCACTAAAGGAAGAATGATGCACAAAAAAAAAAAAAGAAAATGTATGGAAATCTCGAGCGTTCTGCGGCTCTCGTTGCGACAGATCACGAGAGCTTGTTAGGTACTTGGTTGCAAGCAGTCGCGTGTGTGGCACCTGCAGCAAGTGTTAAACTTGCCAGACGAGCTGCCTAATGAGGACATGAAACAACCTTCAGACATTGAATGTAGCTAAGGAGCCAATGGAGCAGTAGTTAGGCTTTCCAGACAATGCTGTTAAATGGGACCGTAGAACAAGTTTTGGGCGCAATTTTTGAGGAATATATTCTGCAATGGGACGACGGCCAGTCGTGGTATAATAAATTGTAGAAGGATGCTTTGTTTCCTGCGGGTAATCTAATCAAGAGTTTACATCGAAAAGTGGCGATTTTTTCACCCGAAGGTATTTTGCGTGGCACCTTTGAAAAGCAAAAATGGTTGATTTGTGATACCCCAACGTCTTTCATGCCCACCATTGTAAAAAAATGATGAGCCAACTTTTTGAGGAGGTGAAAGTTTATTTTGCAACATAAACGTCCCATCCAGACACTTTTTAACCTCCCGCAATGGAAAACACTAAGGCCTCCGGCAAGCATTAATTATATCAAAAGCGCTGTCAACGTTGTAGTAATAAATATAGAAGTATACGCTGATGAAAATCGCTTGTCTGTTTCCCTGCCTCCCGCTGTCACTCCGAGATATGTCAACTAATAACACCAGAATGTACCTCAATAAAAGTCGGTGTAGTTAATATAGTTTATGCAAGTTATCGAAAACTTACGAGCACATTGTGACTACAATGTCTCTCAAACGCCCAGATCTCTGCTAAATAGGTGACCCGTCCAGTCCACAGCCTAGAGAAGAGTCTTTAGGGGAGAAATTTCGGGAGCGGGTACATGTGGAAGATAGGAGAACCGAAGGAAGTAGCAGTCCAGTTTGTGACATCGCGGATTTTGGACAAAGAGAATGGGAAAAGGCGGAACGAAGAGTCTCTAGTGGCACGTCGACAGGCACAGATGGTATCCCAATCAAGCTGGTGAAGAATTTGGGTCCTAAATCTAAGGCAAAACTAAGGGAGGTAGTGGGTACCATGATAACATAAGGAAATATTCCAGATGAATGGAGGCTTAGTAGGATGAGTATGATATATAAGGGAAAGGGAGATAAGTCTGGTATTAGGAATTATCGTCCCATAACCGTGACACCGGTTATTTACAGGTTGGTAATGCAGATTATAAAGAACAGACTGGAGGAATGGGTAGATTGCGAGGGCATACTGGGCGAGTTACAGAACGGGTTTCAGAAACAAAGAAGGTTGGAGGACAATTTATTTTCTCCGACACAGTGTATAGAAATAGCGCAAAAAGAAAACAGACAGCTCTGGCTGGCATCTCTGGATATCAAGGGTGCCTATGACAATGTGAACCAAAGGAACCTATGGGACATAATGGAGAGCTTAAACCTAGATGAAGGACTAACAGCACTATTAAGGAACATTTACAAAGATAACAAGGTGATTATAACATGGGAAGGAAAGGCGACAGGGAAAATAAAGATAGGACGAGGCCTTAGGTAGGGGTGCCCGTTATCGCCTTTGCTGTTTATGTTGCATCTGAGAGGATTGGAGGATAGACTAGAGAAGAGTGGGCCTGGATTCAACCTTTCTTACAGTAAGCTAGGCCAAAAAATTCAGCAATCCTTACCGGGATTGATGTGTGCGGATGATATTGTACTAATGGCTAACAACAGGACAGAGTTGCAGGAATTAATAAGCATCTGTGGTAGGGAAGGAGAGGAATTAGGTTTAGAATTCAGTAGCAAAAAATCAGCACTCATGATTTTTAACGAGGATGAAGTTGAGAGGCTGAAGATACAGAATATTACAGTTGAGAGAGCTAGTAAATACAAGTATCTAGGAGTATGGATATGTGATGGTGCAGAATATCTCAGAGAGCATGAAAAGTATATAATAGGTAAGGGCAACAGAAATGCAGCTGTAATGAAAAATAGATCACTTTGGAATTACAACAGGCATGAGGTGGTGCGAGAGATTTGGAAAGGGGTCATGGTGCCTGGCTTGACTTTTGGAAACGCAGTGCTATGCATGAAATCCGAAGTGCATGCGAGACTAGAAATAAAACAGCGCGGAGTAGGTAGACTGGCTTTGGGGGCACATTGCAAAACGCCAAACCAGGGAGTACAAGGAGACATGGGATGGGCGTCTTTTGAGAGCAGGGAAGCGGTGAGCAAGATAGAATTTGAGGATAGGTTGAGGCAAATGGATGAGGAGCAATGGGCACGAAAGGTTTTCAGCTATTTATACATGAGGAGTGTAGACACAAAGTGGAGACAGCGCACTAGGAAATTAAGAGGAAAGTTTTTGGGCTATAGTGAAGATACGGAAGAGCAAGTCTCAGTTAAGAAGAAAGTTAAGGCCACAGAAAGAGATCGGTGGATAGAGGGAATGCAGACAAAGATGGCTATGGAAAGCTATAGATGAAACAAAACAGTTATTGCCAAAGAAAGCATTTATGACAATTCTAGGGGAAGCTCATTGTTGTTTGAGGCGAGGACGGGTGTTCTGCGAACCAGAACATACAGAGTGAAGTACCAGGAAATGGATACAGTGTGCACTGCTTGTGGAGAGGAGGACGAGACGGCTGAGCACTTGATACTCTACTGTAAAGGGCTTCACCCTATGCCTACCGAAGACAACATTGATTTAATAAAGTCATTGGGTTTTAGAGACAGCGAAGGGAGAGTGGATTTCAAGACTGTAGAGATTACCAAGCAAAGATTAAGTGAATGGTGGCAGAAATCGAGAGAAAACTAGGTATTTTCTTATTCACTGATGGCAAGGGGGTTTTATAGCCTCACTTTCTTTGCACTGCAGTGTGAATATAGATTTCACATTTCAATATTCTAAGCTTAAATGGTAAAACAAAATGGCTAGGTGGCGTAAGCTACCGCCCGATCCAAAGGGCTCAGCCGAATTCATCCATTCATCCATCCAGAAGTAAACATCTTCGGCACAAATCTGTCTGTTAGGAGAAGGTTAACGAAGAATCAGAACACTAACTTAAGTTTTAATAAAGACAAAATTTCCGACGTTTCGAGAACTAGGGCCTTTGGTCACGGGTGACTTTCCGTGACCAAGGGACTGAGTAGGTTTCAAAACGCCGGGAACTTTTCTTTTTACTAACCCTTCGTCAGCGAACAATATGAGCAGTGGTATGAGCTACGTGTCCTTACCTGTAAACTTTCAAATCGTCGTCTGCTAGTTTCAGGCACGATGTGGACGGAATGACTAGAAGCGAGGCTAGGACAATGCAGACGATGAACGCCATGGCACTTAATGACTAGCAGTTAGAGACGATGTAAAAGGAATGTACGTCATATGAAACTGTAGCAGCGAGTACCGCGCTTCGCTCTCGTAACCGTGGCCAGTTTGTCACCAATTCAAACGCCATTCCTAGATTCCTCTTCCCTCGCTTCCCTAAACACCGATCACTCCTTTAGCTGGAAGTGATTAGGGAAAATAGGAATGTGTCAAACTTGCAACGCGTTTACACCTGATTACACGTCCGCAGTGGGAAAGTCGACCGCGACCACCGCGACGGCGGCGTCCTGTGCGCCGCCATGTTTACTCTACTCTCGAAGAAGACTGCCGATTCAAACCGAGCCTTCGCGCGTCGGAAGTGTCGGAAGTAGTCTGCTTACGAGGCTGCAATCTTGTTAGCTTCCTTTTCCGGTTAGCTTTCATGTCGGGAGCTGCACTGTAAAATACAGGTGAGGCGAATTGAATCGAAATAATCGAGTATTATGCGAATATTTTTGCTCGATTGCTTGTGCGGGGTATGATTTTAAATTATTCATTGTGAATAATCGAATGTAAAGTTTTTAGAAGTTTCAAACGTTGATAAACGTGGAGCAGTATCTTAGAATGGCAGCCGCTTCCAGCCGCCGTCTTTTCTAAATATTCACTAATTCTGGCTACGATAAGGCTTTAAAACAAAAATAATAACTGCATTTCAACTAGCAAACGCGCTAAAGCATTTAGCTCCTCTTGCTCAGCTTCGAACGCTTGACCTTTGAACCGGCTTTTGGTTCTCCCAAGGATCGTACTGCTAGCTGTGTCCGCGTGTCTAACCGCGGCTGCCTATTTGTTTTCCTGTCGTACAGATCGATTGATTGAATGATTCAATGAGCTACGTGTTTTGTTTATGTATTGCAGTTTCAAGATGTTGATGCCCAAAAAGAACAGAGTGGCCATCTATGAATACCTCTTCAAGGTAAGGCCGGCTCCTCTAGCCAAGTCTGGCACGGACTTGGGCGTTCGCACTGGACCGTGCTCATTTAGTTTCGAAAGCAAGCTCGATGCAAGCAGACGCCACAGCCCAATCAATTTTAAAAATGCGAAGCTTTTCTTTTCAACGCCTTTTACGCTATGAGAACCAGTCAGATTCTTGAGTGTTGAAATTCCACCCGTCACTTCACCGCTCCTTCGAACCTACTGCAGCCACGACTCTTGTATGGTTCTGCCAGCCTTTGAGTTCTGATAATTTGGTTCCCTGCAGGGGTCTGATCAGAAACCGCACAGTCTCCAGTGGTATTGTGCCACATTTCCGCCCTAGTGGCAAGCGCATGTTCATTTTACATCGTTACGGGCATAGTTTTATAAATGCGGGAAGTAACAGTTGGACAGATCATCCGAGAGTCATTTCAGCCTTAGTTGGGAAATGCTGTTTTTCACATGTGAAGGTTGTCACATTGGTAGTGTGAAGCAGGCGGCAAGTAGCAACAAACACTATTGTGGCCAATACGAGCTGAAACGCCACGAGTGCGGTACTGTCAGGTGCCCGTCATATTTATCTGTAAATAATGATGTGTGCCGTGGCAAAGACAACTCTCCTGCGCTCATGGTGCCACTCTGCACTTGCCGTTTGCTGGATGAAGGGGAAGTGACGTCTTCATGTAATCAAAGTGTAACACCTATGCATCGAAAACAAAAAAATTTTGTAGCGCCTTGACTTATGATCATGCAATATTCAGTGCACAGTCGAGTGGCTCAAACACTAAGGATGATGTACAGAAAATGCGAAGGAATATTTTTTTTTTCATAGTTGCACAGACATGCAGCAAGAAACTGAGTACTAATGCTGGTTAAAACAATGTACAGTGCTCAACAAAACGAAATAGATCAGTGGAGCGCATGGCCTCATCACATACCTGTGGCATCATCTGCAACAAGGGTCTATCTGGTGTCTCGGGTTGCACGTGCGCGCAGCTGAGCCAAGCACTTGACGGCTGTTTGTGCTCGGTGCACAACTTGCAGTAGCTGATCAGTGCTCACCATAAATGTTTTTTTTTATTTCTTTTTTAGCGTCGTAAACAGTTTTATTTGTTTGCAAATGTGTCTGTAGCAATTGCCTATCGGGGGTTGTACCTGGAGCGTGAAGAGCCGCTGACTGCCTGGCTCAGCTACGCGCGTGTGCGACTCGCAATGCCAGATGGCACGGCTTCTCCCGGCAGTTGTCGCAGGAGCTGTGCGTGGCCATGCGCTCCGCCGGTCCATTTCGTTTCACTGAGGCTGCACTAAATAATATGGCGATACAACCTGCATTTTGGCGCAGTTTGATCTCATTTTCTCCGACATCTTCGTGCTTTTGGTGCATGTTGCAGAGCCATTCTTTTGTACGCCCTTATTTTTACGTCGCTTTCGATGTTTGGGTGGGATAGGACTGTAAATCCACCCGTGGGAGACTCGCCCGGACGCTGTGTCTCGATCCCCCCTGCGATTGCCCACTCCGCAGGAGGGTGTGCTGGTGGCCAAGAAGGACTTCCACGCCCCCAAGCACCCGGAGCTGGAGGCGATCCCCAACCTGCAGGTGATCAAGGCCCTGCAGTCTCTCCGGTCCCGGGGCTATGTGAAGGAGCAGTTTGCCTGGCGCCACTACTACTGGTACCTGACCAACGAGGGCATCCAGTACCTGCGGGACTTCCTCCACCTGCCCCCCGAGATTGTGCCGGCCACCCTCAAGAAGCAGTCCCGCCAGGAGGCCCCCTCCCGAAGGCCCAAGAGTAGGTGGCCCCGGCCCCGTCTCGCTCGCTAGATCTCATTGGCCTCACGGAGAGTGGGCGAAGGTGGCGTTCGAAGGCTGCTCGTCCGCCGCAAAGCGCCATTCGCAAACGGTGTTGAAACGAGAAAAGGCCATATGTCATCCGCTAACGCACCGAGGGAAAAGTTGATAGTCCGCTACGAATTGAGCGCCACGACGACGCGTGCCAAATTTGTGACCATCCGCTATCTTATGTCGGAAGCCGTCGAGAACTCTCGCTTTGTTTGCAAATCTCGAGTTCTGCCACCGTGCGCGTCGACGGGTGGGTGGTAAACCAAGGGCAAGCACGTCGGAGGCGGAGAGACCTTTCTCTGTTTGTACCTCGACGAGATGTTCTCAGCAAAATACGAATGGAATGCAAACTTGCCAGCCAGGACGCTCTAGCCTGGACCAGAATCAAACCCCCGGAACGCGCCTCCGACGAGGGCATTCCCCGCGACCTCAAATCCGGTCCCTCGATTTCCACCCGTTGACGTCGCACCTTGGCTCGCGCACTGCGGCGGAGGTGCGTGCTGCAGGTTGCGCCTTGGCTCGGAAGTTTGGAAGCTGGAACTTTCCTAACCGGCCGCCAGGATGGTGACATTCTACAATGCACTGGCTCGTGCAGCACAATTTGTTTTTCTTTAGACTCGCCTTTAATGGGGGGCCGGTACAGGACACAGATTGCGTTGGTCGAATACTCGTTACGGGCACTGCAGTAGAGGTTTCGCGAATTGGCGCATGGAAACCTAGTCGCGTCCAAAGTTGTCCGTTTTATTGCACATTATGGCCCGCGTAGGTGAGTCAGAATTCCTCGATTTGTAACGGCTCGACGTCCTCTCCTCGGTGAGTAGTGGAGGCCGGCACAAGGCACAGGCTGCAAGCGAGTGCTACGCCGCCATTTTGCCGGGGCCCGCATTTGGTCGACGAGTCGCAGTCCAACGCCGTTGTCGCGTTCAAGACGTGACCTGTGCTAGCTTCCGGTGGCTTGCATAGAAAACCTAGCAGTTATACCCTGCTGTCTAGGAACTGCAGGACGTACTGTCTTTTCAGCGAACTGCCATCGATAACTTCATTTTATTGATTAATGCCTCGTGGCCCCGAGCGGGGCAGTCTCGTACGGGGGCAGTGCGTGCAAAAGGAAAAGCGGAACATTCAGAATTGTTCTAAATGTGGGTGAAGCCGCATGAAGCAAATGTGGCATAATGGTAACGACTCTAGCTGACGTGGCATTTCGGTCAAAGTTTGAAGCACTCTTTTGCACCGCAATCGAATGAGCCGGGCGGCGAGTTGAAAAGGGGTGGCGGCGGCAGTGGGTTCTTGTCATAAATTACTGAGAAAGCTACCCTCTAGCGATTCAACGAAGCTCCAGTGAATATGCCTGACAACTTTGTGCAAAAAAAAAATGCGAGTGTTTGTGCAATTTAGCAATTTTTTTGTTTTAAAGCGACACTGACACCCCCCAAAATATTTTTTCCCTTTTTTGTCGAGCGATTTATTATGGTGTCGGAACACTGTTCAATTAATATTTTGCTACAGAGTCGCATATTTTTTTAATAAAGCCAAAAAACGCGACTGCTCGAAACTGAAACTCTCGCACCGCACAAAGAAGGGGAGAGGATAGAGTGAGTGGCGGAAGTCGCATGGCTACACCCGACCGTGCAGGGTTTCTTTTTTTTTTCTCTCTCTCTCTCCGCACGTAGCAGGCGAAATGCGTTTGTTCGCCCTGCGATTCCTTTGCAGTTATGTTTGTTCCGCTCGCTGTTCTCCACTTCAAGATGAGTTGTTTTGTACATTTAAGTGCTGGCAATTAGTAGTGAGTGCCAGGGTGCCGTGGTGAATTCCCGTGATCGGCTCCGAAAAGAATACTCCCAAGATGTTGTGTGAAGAGTTGGCTCACATGTCCTGCATCTGAAAGTGGCGTTGTGCGGCAGAGTGCTCAAGTTTCCCAAAGATCAACCGGTCGGGATCAATTTCTGTAGAACAGTTACGCGACGCTCGGAAAGCGGATGCTACCCGATTCATATGCCCGTTGCATTTTGTGGAAAGCGACTACATTGAGTTCGCAGGTGTCAAAAATGGAATCCCATACCATTTAGTTCAGCGACGTATCGTCTACAACAATTGTTTCTTTTTTTTTCTTTTTTTTTTTCAGTGATAATTGTAAAAAAAAAAAAAAAATGTAGACATTGCAAAATGCTTGACAAAAAAAAAAAAAAGGTACACCCACACCAGGGATTGCACCCGTGCACTCTGCGTGTGAAGCGGGCGTCTTTCCACTGAGCTACTGAAGGAACTCACTCATGCGTAGCAATGTGGCGGGTAGACTGTATGTCGGAAATTTGACGCCGATTTCCCTTCAATCCATGCACTCCCGGGTCGAAGTCGGGCAGCACCGCGCATAGGCCACATTTGCACCTCGTAAAGAAGCCGTACGCGTGCGTATCCAACTCGAAGTACTCACTTCGTGCTTGACGTTTAGGCGAGCGATGTCTTCAACCGCAAGAAGGGACGACGGCTCGGCGACGTCTTCGTGCAATCGGCTAGCTGGTCGGGCGTGTCGTACGGGATGAGTATCAGTTCTTTTGATCGGTCCTAAATTTCTCTTTCGAAGGAAGACAGAATTCATTCATTCATTTATTTTTCGTGCTCATGAACGGCGAGTAGCCTATGTAATGATGCACAGAGTCAAAAGAAACACACATAAGAAATCAACAGCACATGCAACAGCTAATATCTATTATGGGGGAACAGGAAATAGGTAACAGTTAAATATCAGCCAGAGAACACCTAAACGCTTGAACACTTGAGTTGAAAATGTCTATGTCGATGCTGGTTGTACTGAACCTGTTATAAAAATGTTGGATGCGGTTCATGGGACTGGAGAGGTTGATTTTTTGAACTGAGAAAGTGGGATTAACCCTCAAAAGCACTCGCGGTACATATATGCTAATAGCTGATGTAGGGGTCGAACAGTCAATGCAACCATGAACACATTTATACAAAAAAACTAGATCGCGCTCAAGTCTTCTCGAGCTTAGTGTGGTACAATCACATCGTCGTAAAAGCCTGTTATACTCATAATAAACACTGCGGCCAATATAGCGATCATATACAATACGGAAGAAACGTCTCTGCACGTTTTCGATTTTTGCTTGGTTTGCATTACCAATACAATTCCAAACAACAGAACTAAACTCAAGCTTGCTACGTATTAATGAAAAATACAAAATGAATATGCAAGCTGACGAAAGGAATTCACGTGTTATTCTCGAAATAACACCTAGCGTCCGATAGGCAGCATTTGTGATGTTGGAAACATGTTCATTGAATGACAAAGATGAATCAATATATACTCCTAGATCTCTTGTGCATTCAACCCTACGCAGAGGTAGGTTCTCAAGATAATAACAAAAACTTACAATTTCCAGTTTCTTAGAAAAGGACATAACTACAGTTTTTTTAGGATTTAGTGTTAACAAATTGCGGCAACACCAATGATGCACAGCATTAACATCCTCCAGTATCATTTCACAGTCATAGATGGATGAGACCTGCCTAAACAATTTGATGTCGTCAGCATATTGCAAAGTATGTGAATGGCGGACACAAGAACCAAGATCATTTATAAAGACATTGAATAAAATTGGTCCTAGTATGGACCCCTATGGCACACCCGAAAATGACACATAAGGTTTAGAATGATGTCCCATTATACGAACGAAGTTTTTTCTTTCCATCAGATAGTTCAAAAAAAATTTGCAAAGCTGGTTATTGACTCCATATGTCCCCAATTTATGGACAAGAATTGAATGATTAACCAAGTCAAACGCTTTAGATGGATCAAAGTATACGGCGTCTACCTGCCCACGCTGATTGGTAATCGGCGAAACGAAGTTTAAAAATGATACTAGATTGGTCTCTACAGACCTGCCAGAGAAGAAACCGTGTTGTGAAATGCTAATTTTACGTTTAAAAAATTGTGACAAATGTTCAAACAAAACGATTTCATAAACTTTCGAAAATGCACAAAGCAAGGATACCGGCCTGTAATTCTTTACGTCATCGGTCTTGCCACCTTTGTGAACAGGCACAATGACAGAATTTTTCCAAAGCTCAGGAAAAGTAAAACTTGACAGAGACAAGTTGAAAATATGAGTTAATATCGGCGTAAAAATGGAGGAACAACCTTTAACAATAAAGCTTGGGATGCCATCAAATGCCATTGATATCTTGGGTTTTAGTCTTTTTATCGCAATCTCGATTTCAGCGCTTTGAAAAGACGTTATCGAGAGGTTATCATTAAAATTGCTACTATCATCTGGCGTGCATGGCGTAGCTTGGTTTGAGGAGTAGACAGATTCGAAATAATCAGCGAATGCGTTTGACACACATGCAGGTTCATTCAGCACTTTACCAGATGCGTCACATAGGCTTATCGCAGGAGAGGACGTGGTCATGCGATCATTGACATACCGCCAGAAATACTTGGGGTCGCGGTTTAAGCTGCGTTCAACTGACTCTCGATAAGATTCTTTGTCCCTCTTGATTAACACTTTAGCTAACGCTCGTGATTTGGAAAACTTATTATACCAAAACTGTGTTTGTTTAACCTTATATTTCCTATGGTAGTGCAGTTTTTTTCTAAGCTCGGACCTAAGCTCGTGCGAAAACCAATGAGGATAGCGGGATGAGTGACGACACTTTTTTGGAACAAACATTTCGATGGCGTTCGTAAAACAGTTAGTAAGTAACTCAACAGCGCAATTTACATCGGTTGTTTCATATACTGGTGCCCAATCAACGCTATCTAAAAATCTGAAAAGGCCAAGATAATTACTCCTATTAAAAGCGAATGATTCATAGCTTGTATGCTTTGATGTCCTGAAGGAAGCGGAGAAGGGAACATGCCACTCGTCGGGGGGAACAAGGGGCTTAGAGACCGGTACGAGGGTATGAACATGAAAGTTCACTAAAGCGAGGTCCAGTACGTTTCCCGCCGGGTTCTGAAAACTATTTAACTGATTCAATCCTAGATAGTTCACAGAATAGAGTAGAGTATTCGCCTTAGATGTTACACAACCAGAAGATGAGAAAGGGTGCTCTAAATTCCAGTTTATATCAGGGACATTAAAATCTCCTAGAATAAGAATACGGTATTTGTCGACGTCTAATTGATCACAAAGCAGGTTCATTTGTTCCGAAAATCCGGTGACATCAAGGCTCGGCGGGAAGTAAAACGTGCCAATGAGCAAGTTGGAGCCGGCAAAAGTTATTTCCACCCAGACAGTATCACCGCTAAATTCAAGGTCAAATCTCCGTACCGCCTGCAAATGTTTTTTAACAGCAATGAGTACACCACCCCCGAAGTTCGCCGACATGCCTTCATAATTCCGATCCCTACGAAATACAGTATATGCTGGAGGAAAGTAATCAGATGATGAAAAAGAGCAGTTCAACCATGTTTCGCTTCATGAAATTATGTCGTAATCACTCACTGCAACATTTGTAAAACATGTATTGGCCTTAGTACGTAGTCCACAAACGTTTTGATAGAATACAGAACACTTCATTAAGAAAGAACACTTTTTTTTTTTTTTTTTTTGTTAGGACGGCTATGCAGCTGGAGTGTCTTCATCAACCCGTAATGGCCCAAAAAATTGTCTGAAGAACGAACCCATGGGCCAAACGCCATCAGTATTGATCTTTTCAAAATCCTCCTCATTTACAGAGATGTGAAACGACGAGTAGCTGTCATGTTTGGCTTTCAATTGAGTACACTTAAATGACTTATCCTCTAAGATGGGAGCAAGCACTGCCTCAACATCACTACACACGGTAGTTGGGTGAAGGCGTGAAACAAAGAGTGCTTTACGCCTTTGCGGCCTTGGAACGGAAGCCAGCTTACTGTTTGTACACGATCCCGAAGAAGGCTTGACCCTCCGCTTTCGTTGAACAAGTGTGAATCCATCAGCATCTGTTGCTGCAGTATCCTCGGTCGTTTGGCGCGATGGTCGATTGATGGTTGAAGCGGTCGGGTAGGACTGCACAGGTTCGTTGCCACGCGTATGTCCGTTCTGGCTTCCTGGTTTATCGCGAGCGCCCCGTAAAGCAGCGATGCTAGTCGAATCTTTGCGGGCGGCATCAGCAAAACTTGCGGCGCCACGGGTTTGTTGGGAAACCAGTGGTGGTGTGACGTCTTGGGTGGTCAAGCGACGCAGCAGTTCCGTGTTCCTTGCGAGATGGATCTGCAAGGACGCGTTATCCGCCCTGACAGACGTAACTTCTTTCACAAGAGCGTCAATCTTTCCACACAAATCCGCGACTAACCTGCTGACACAGCCGCACGCGCCACAGCTTTCAACCGTCGGAACAGTTTGAATTCCAATGTCGCTCAGAGTGGGCGAATCGGTGGCAGAATCTTCAGCACGCATGGCGACATCTTGAGCGCCGTTGCGCCTCGTACAATTTTGACACTTGTACGTACTTGAGCCGTACGCGCCACAGCTTTCAACCGTCGGAACAGTTTGAATTCCAATGTCGCTCAGAGTGGGCGAATCGGTGGCAGAATCTTCAGCATGCACGGCGACATCTTGAGCGCCGTTGCGCCTCGTACAATTTTGACGCTTGTACGTACTTGAGCCGTTGACCATGAAGAACTCGTAGTCATCTCCCACCACGCCTATGCACTTGCAGTGGAACCGCGCTTCGCAAGGTCCCGAACAACGCAGATATTGCTGCCTTCCGAAGAAGGGATCGGAGCAGCTGCCGCACACGTCCTTGCTGCCTGGCATCAGCGTTTGCGTCAGCGTTTGATTCACCGGCACCATGAATGACAGTTCTGAAGTAGAGGTCCAACGCCCGTCGTCCACTGTCACCTGCGAGTCCCACGATACGCGAAACGACGCCATGTTGAGAATTGTGCAGTGAACGTGCAGGATGCTTCGGGTTGTTTGTGCTACCTTTTTTGTTAATCAATGTATTTGTAGCTTTTTGGAAGCCACAAAAAATGGGTTTCCTATTTTTTTATTTTATTTTTAATATTGACTGTGTGCCTTCAATGACCCACGACTTTGATTAAATTTGGTGGTCGCATCGAAACCTTAGAAAACGGTCCGTGACCACGGAAAAGAGAGTGGGCGTGACTCAAACCGGCCAGTTCTCGATCGGCGGTTTTTGGGCGGAAAGAAACCGAATTTCGAGCTGCAAATTCTATTCTGGGTAGTTGGGCTCTCATATGTCAGGTACAACTAAAAACCTCGGCTAGCATAAAAACCCTGTCAGTGTCTCTTTAAACACTAGGTGTTTATAGGGTCAGCCTTAGGTATTCCACGTCAGTGGCACTGTGACATCAGTCTCGCACGACTTGGCATCGTCAAGTCACCGGACACCGACGTCGTAGTGTGGGAAGGTTGTTATGGGAGAGGAGCTCAATAAATGCTAGGCATTTAAAGTGCTTAGGGTATATTGTAAAGAGACTGTCCAAATCGCGAGTATTGCGTCTGCAGAGTGTTTGAAGGTGGACATTGTCCCAGTCACATTTTGCTGTTGTGAGCTTCTGTACTGAGCTTACGGCCTTTCCCTATGTGACACATCAGGGGGCCCGTCGAGTTCACGGACGCCTGCCCTCGGGGTGTGGGCCGGAACGAGACGGCACATTTGTTTGTACTCCCAGCCCAAATTTGCTCGAGGGTGCCGCCGCTTTGACACTTAGTGTTCAACTGGAACAATCGACAACTGTTAGGATTTTAATGCGAGACTCGTTCAGCTTTGGATCTCTGTTGGAAAGCCGGGGTGACGTCCTTTTGCTCTGTCGCAGACTGTTTTCTTGGCGTTTCTCGGGGACGGAAGAGCGCTTCCGCCTATTTCCGACAAAGCTTGGGACGACCGGAGACAATGCATTAAGGTCGGAGGGTGGCCAAAGCGTAGTCGATGAAGTGGCCCTAGTGTGGGGCTTCTCAAACGCCTCTATCTCCGGAACAGCAGACATGGCCAAAATGTGCCTGGTGTACAAGGGGCTCGCTCGTTCGATTTACCTGCACTTCCTGAGCAGGTGTGGGTAAACGAACGAGCATAATGGTGTGCATACTAGGGAGGTTCATAGTTCCATACTGACGGGCAGCTCGGGAGACTCCCGAATTTTGACCAATTTGTACGATTGACCAGAAAATCTCCCGGAGAACTCAAATTGCTTAAACAAGGAGTCTGCTGTTGCAACAAACGGCTGCAAGGATAACGAGGCCCAACTGTATCTCGCTAGCATGAGCAGTGCATTATAAAGGTAATGACGTTGCCTCGATGGAAATTTGTTATCGATATTTATTTTCAAAAACCGCAACTCCCCCACCCCCGCTTAGAAATTCCTCGGATTTGGTTTCTCCGCACTTGGCAGGTATGGAATACACGTTTTTAGATGAAGATGTTAACTAATTCCATATTGTTTACTGGGTCAAAAGCAGGAGGGTAGATACTCAAAATCCCACTTTATTTAAAGAAGGGCGGGCTATTCATACTTTGCTTCCCAAGCTCTCCGCCTTTTCGCTGCGTCTGTGGCACCCAAAGCACATCAGCTGACTCCGACTCGCGTGTCGGACGCGGGCACTGCGTCGCCCGGATTGTTGACGATGGATCCGTCGATGAATGTATGGTTTGGCATTTGTGGTCAACGGTTACCCCGATGGCACTTGTCATCACTCGCGAATGGCAAGTTCCGTGGTGTACTCAGAAGCACGGTGGAAGCTCAAATTGGTCGCACTGGCACCATAGCACGCCATGGCCGTGGGGTTCCCCTTTTGAGTCGAGGATTAGAGCTAAGAACGTTTGAGGCCCATTGAGGACGGGGACGGCGGAGGAAGCTTCGGGTACACAGTTTGAGAACCCACGCCCAACAACACTGTTTGCCAATGCCGACGAGTGCGCAGTGCACTCTTTTTGCGACGCGGATGCTCTACGTTGCGAGGCGGCCTTCCGTCCGGTGCAACACAACAGTGTGCCGACGTGGATGTTGACGCTTGTGCATCTTGACTGCAGTGGCCCAGGACATGCAGAACAAGGCCCCCGACGACCGCAGCGACTACCGCAGGGCACCAGGTGAGGCCAGCTTCCACCCCAGTCTCGTCGACCGGGCCCCGAGGGCCACGTGCCTTATGCGTCTACGTGCAATTGAACTACCACCCAGGGAATGAAACCTGCAGTGCTGTTGCACAGAAGCAGGAAGGCAAAGTAGACATACCGTAGAATGCCGCGCATCCGCCCATTGCACATTAAGCGCCCATATCCAAATTTCTAGGATATGAAAAAGTATGCACAGTACATGTACCGTATTTTCCGGACTATAGTCCGCACCCGGTGTATAGTCCACAGGGAGAAATTTGGGGTCAAAAATAAAAGATTTTGCTTAGATAGCCTGCACCCGGTGCATAGCCCGCACCTGGTGCATAGTCCACACCTGGTGCTTAGTAGACACGAAAATCTTCTCATAGACAGCACACGTTTACAAATGTCTGCTTTTTAGCTCACAATAAAGCCTATAATGTGCATAAATCATCATTAACATGCACTTTCATACACAAAATTCGTCACGTCTCGTCATAATAAACGATCTTGAAAAACAATTCCTGTATAGTCCGCGAACTATAGCTTGGAAAATACGGTATATGTAAAATTGGTGACTGGAGAAGCGCCCTTCCCCCATTTTTCCACAATTATCTCTAAATTTTGAGTGGGTGCTAGCCCGGTATTTTACGGTAAACATAAATCTTAACATGATATTCAAACTGATGCGACTGAAAATGGCGTGTGTGCTTAAAGTTGCTTAAAAATGGCTCAAACCAATTACATCAACGCAGAAGCCTCAAAGTAGCGGTAGAATTACCTGCGTTGTTCCGAAGTATTCAGTATTTGAAATGCATAGTACCGAAATATTTTTACATTGGAAGAAAAAAAATTACATTTTTCAATATTTGGGGAAAAAAATTTTTGTTTTGATGTTTACAATAACGGTATTTGACTTTAGGTCTACAAACATTCGGGTAGTGGCTTGTGTTCAATCACTGCAATGACAATAGCCAAACTCCAGCGATGTCTGGAACTGTACACGTGCCCTTTGCTTTGACTACCCTGGCATGTGACTATCAGAAACATTGGTGGCATATAAACAGCTCTAGATTACATGACCAGTGGTTTATGCCGAGTTGAGGAAAACAGTCCTGTTTGTTTTTCCATGAGGAGAAAAATTAACGCCCAATTTGTTTAGGAACGTCGGGGATTCATTCTGGTATTGACGCAAAGTACAAAAACCGTTGCACCACCCGTTTAAATCTAGGGGCCTATCTATGATGGTGATCGAAGAATGTCTAGCTTCAAGACTGAGCGAAATATTTAACAAAGTTGTTAGTTGAGCTCTCTAAACTGCCCGAATTCTCGGACAACACCGAGAGTTTCACTCATCACTGCTCTTTTGTGGCAATGAGGGTGCAGTTTGATCCGCTTCCGACGGAGGCGAGCTCTCGCTGCCTCCAGGTGCACTTTATCCCGGTCACATTTTGCTGCTGCGAGCTTCTGCACTGGGCTCACGGCCTTTCCCTATGTGACAGAGCAGGGGTCCCGTCGAGTCGGACGCACCTGCCCCCGCTTTCGGGGCTTGGGCTCGAACGAGACGGCACATTCCTCGCGGAAACATCAATCGCGCCCAAGAAAAAGTTTTGTTTTAATTGCAAAAATAAACTACCGTAGTATCCAGAGAGACAGCCCAGCGTGATTCGAGTGAAAATAGGTATTAAGCTAAAATTGAAGCGTGCGTTTTGTGGACCATACAGAAAGCCACGGATGCTGCACCAGCCACTCATGATCCAGCGCGTGCGGTAGACATTACGCAGTGCCACTGCACTTAGCTTGTCTCGCCTTCCGATGAGTTTGACGACATTGAATGCAAGAGGGGACCAGATGACTTCTATCTGGATGCGTGTAGGAGAAAAGGATAGTGTTACATACCTTTCATGAGCCTCGCGCTGTCCTCTTATTACGACGAATTAAGAAGAGGTGTCAAATTATGCCAAAAGTAGGAGGCGGGCCCTCTCTCGGGTGATTACGGTATGCATAGTTGAAGGCTCCGTTTCCTTCCAAATGTAGCGCTAGCAGTGCGAACCAGATGCCAACGTTTGAGAACAAACTCGTCCACTTCAAAAAAGTTGCGATTGATTTTCTGAAAAATTTTGCGGTAAAACGATGGACAATGCCCACGAATATGTGGGACTGAATGGAAAAAAAACTACCGAGAACAGGCCCCATCTTCATGTTGAAAGTTTTCGAAAATCGCGTAACTTCTTAATAAAATTCTGTTCCAACGGGCATTTCAACCAGACTTGTGGCACTACGGGTGGAGAGTGAGCATTCGGCGATACATTCCTCATTTTTGTGGTTAAAAGGAAACCCCGCGTATTTGTGGCAGAAGGGGAACACTGTCTATTTAAATATATGATTTTAATCTCACAGGAACAGTGATACATTTCATCGTCACATGACGAACCACAACTGGCGCCATTCCCGTGTGCATTGCGGGAACTTTTGTGCTCTTGCAGGCTTGGACAAGAAGGGAGATGTTGGACCCGGCACAGACACAAACTTCGACTTTGTAAGTTCCGTCCCCAATTCGTTCATTTGGATTAAAGGGATGGTGAACTGAAATTAGGATTTCAGAAAGCAATGCAGGAGCTGTAGGCGGGATGCTACCATCCCTACAACACTACTCGTAAGGCATACCCGCCAACTCTTCCGAATTTTTCATAAAATGTATGAATTTGGAGTGATTTTACGAATCTTGCTTCAAATCTTACAAAAAAAAACTTTTTTTTTTTTTGTAACTTTGTTGTTGGCGGTATCTTGCACCGCCGCAAGAGGACGATAGGTACCGTCCACAGCAGCGTCGTGGTTTTTACTATCTGTCTATCCAGTGGCCACGGATCGAAGACCAATCCAAAGCTCAAAGCCTTTGTTCGTGTATTCGGCGTGCTCAGAGACGTTGTTGGGCCTCGTTGCTTCGGCCAGTTTCGAGGCGGGAAGTACGGCGTCCATGTTTGTTGCACGTGTAACTGAAGCATTCTCCTGGTCACTGTGGCTTCGCGGCGCAATGCCTAACTCCAAACCTCAAAAGAGGTACTTTCAGGTGTTCCTTAAGTCCTGCACGCAGGGGTGGTCCAGCTGCGCCAATTGCGCCATTTTGATAAATTCTCCTTTACCTGCGCCTTGCTGCGCCTAAAGACACGAATTGCGCCAAACTGCGCCAAAAAGGGCTAGTCGGTCCGTGAACGAATTCTTTTTTTGGAAGAATGGCGTTTTCGGCTGGTAACCCGGGGGAGTTTTATTTTCTAGGCTAGGTGGTGCTAGAGCACTATAGAGCTATATAGTGCTCTAGGTGGTGCAAGCAGGTGCAAGCTGCCGCCCGATATAAAGGGTAGAGCCGTTACCATAGCCATCACAATCCAATTCAGGTTTCCGGCCCACTGGCATTATTGCGCATTATTGTTTTGTTGCTACCGTTTTGATATGCGGCGTTGTGGCTGTTCATTTCTGCATCGCCACTACTAAGTCCTCTTAAAGAGGAGCCAACGTGAGTAGTTTTTTTTTTTTTTCTGCATGCGCGTTTTAAGTTACAGACCCCATAGTAGAAATTTGCTCGGACGCTCGTTCACCCGCAGACCAGCGGCATCAATACCGAGGTACTCTTTTCGATCGCGTGGTCGTTGCTTGATTTCCTTGTTGCGAATTGTTGCGTGTTCCTTTTCATGTCAAATGCCGTAAACGATTGGTCACCCCTTTGGTTGTCATACTGTCGCACTGCGTGCGAACTCAGAATAGAGCTTACAAACATGTTTAATAAATCGCTATAGTTTCGGACTTTCGGCAGCCGTAATATATATATAGACCTTTTCTGTGTACTCTCGTCCCCAGCCACCTAATACGCGTATCCGGTATGGGCAACGAAAAAATAATCCAACGTTTCAACCTGAAAATAGTAAAAAAATAAAGGGGAGGCAAAACGAGAAAGTGTGACGGTTACGCTTATATCCTAAAAGCCTTCGATTGGCGTGGCAAAGGCAAAACAATGTTTTCGCCCATACTGGAAGTGACGTCAATTTAAGATGGCGGCGCACTTGCAGAAAAGGTCTATAATAATAAAGACATGGCACAGAACTGCTCTATGTTCATGCTGCTCCAAAATGTTTAGTTTTCCTGATACCAAGGTGCTCCAAAAACGAGCTTTTCCCTGCTCCAAAAGGGGAGTTTATGTGATACGAATTGCTCCAAAATTGGGTTTTTCTTGCTCCAAAAATTGCTCCAAAACCTAAAATGGCTGGACCGCCACTGTGCACGTCGAAATGTCCGTGCTTCGTGCCGCCCAAAAAGAGAGAGAAGTTAGGATTCTGTAGCACGTGTGATGCAAGCGTTTCGCACGCTGGCCAGGCTGACTGACATTAAGCTGCACATCGCTTCGCGACACCCCGCCCGCTGCGGAACTTTTATGAATTTGAAAGTCCACAGGTTGGCAGGTATGGTAAGGCAATATGTCAAATCGACAGCTGTATTTTTTTGGGAAAAAGTGAAAGCCGTTTACCACTCCCTGTAACGCCGAATTGGAGCGCAGCTCTTGAGGAGGGAAGGGGACTGAGGGCCACGGTTTCTGGGGGGGGGGGGGTCACGTGACCCTCCCCTGAGGGCACGTGACCTCGGGGGAGGGGGGGGGGGGGTTAATTGGAGGGGGTAGTCATGTGACCTCGGGGGAGGGGTCATGTGACTCCCCAGGTCACGTGACCAAAATTTCCCCGCTAGATTTAGCGGGGAAATGTTTTCCACTAGATTGAGCGGGGAAATTTTTCCGCTAGATCTAGTGGGGAAATTTTCCGCTAGATTTAGCGAGGAAGTTTTTCCGCTAGATTTAGCGGGGAAATTTTCCGCTAGATTTAGCGGGGAAATTTTTCCGCTAGATTTAGCGGGAAAATTTACCCATAATGCACCGCGTGGTTACGGCGACGCAGACAGCGACGCCACTCAAGCCGGGAACGGGCGCCTAAGAGCTGCGCTCTAAAAAAAGGTTGAGATTGAAGGAGGCCAACGAGGTGCGTGACATCAACATATCTCGTTTCCTCCTCTGTAGAGAAGACACGGGGTTGTTTCCTCTCCTTCTCGGAGAAACAGGACGTAAACATACCTGTCAAATGCGCCTCTTTCTTTAAAAATACAGTCATTCATTCTATACATCGTTGTACGAGTGACGTTTAGGTGTTTGTAGCATCCCGTTGCACGCTTTTCCGCCATGCTTTGTGGAATCCAGATTTGGCTTCAGCATCCCTTGTAAGATGACGGGGCAGAGAGAAGCCGGCCAAGATGAACAAAGCACGGAAGAGCGGTGGTAGCCGATAGTATTGCTAAAACCGAGGCTGTTGCCAGAAAAACAAAGGCACTTTGCAGTTGATGGTAAGGGACTATCTTGATGCCCAGACCTCCTGGATCTTTTTCTTCGACTGAAAGCTCCTCTGTAGTGTCCAGTCTCGCGTTTTGTCCAACAAGAGGCCGAGATGGTCAAGGATCCCGCTGCTTTTAAGGAGCAAAGCACTGCTTTATTGTGTAATGGTGGGGAATTCATAATAACCAAGTAATACCAAACATTGATTTTTTTTTTTTACTGTACAAAAGTTTTCTGTATCAATTTTTATTTACAAGTTAACTATTTTGATTGGAAAAGCAATAAGGCACAGCAGTTAATGATAAAAATTGGGCCCTATGTATGGAGGCCTCTTCGGATCTTCTAGATTGAATGGCCAATGAGGAGCAGTATTTTACGATCGCCAAAAGATGGATAGGTACCGCTTCCTAACTGCCATTGCCATGGTTGTCCCCAAAGAACAGACGAGTTGGTATTTGGTTGGTTGTCGTCCTTTATTCATAGTCCGCATTGCAGGCGAGTAGCTCGGTCACGAGGAAACCTGGTGCACCACTGGGTTCATTAGCTCGGCGGCCTGCTGAGCGCGCTCTTTTGTTTGCAGAGGGGAGGCTTTGGCCGAGGGCGTGGACCACCGCAGTGAAGCTGTCTCGGCTGCTGGGTCAATAAAAAGTTGGGCAGATGTGTGTGTCTCAGGACCTTTCTGCTCCAAAGAAGGTGGCCCTGTGGTAGGGCCAGACCTGCAACAGTGGACACGCAACAATCACCACTTTGAACTGCATGCATCTCCACGTAAAATGGTTTCAGCCAATTTGGGGTTTTTTTACACATTTCTCGGGGTCAAATAAGACCACAAAAGGGTGGTTCACTCACTTGCGACTGCTTACAACAACCGGTTGCCTCGAAACCTCTCGTGGTATCTTACGACAGAGAACATGCCATCCATTGAGTAGCTGTGGAACACAGATACAGTGTAGACCGCATATAACGTATGTTTCGGGAGTCGCGAAAATCCACACTATAAGCGGTACCGCACTATAACCACAACATCAATTTTTTAGGCCAAAATACATGCCATCAGACAACTCACCTTTGAAAAAGAACTTATTTTATGTTAGATGAAAAAATAAGCTTAGTTTGAGGAAAGTCTTTATTTCACCAGACTAGTACACTTCTCTCTCAAGTGTGTCACACATTTTGAAACAAATGAGCGGCTTTTGCCTGGCGCAGCCTCTTTGCGGCGTCGCGGGTTGCGGACGGACGTTGCGAGCGTTCAGGATTGCTAACCCTAATCACTTTTCTCCGGAGATGAAAACGCGTGAAAATTCGCATCCTTCATACGGTACGCGCCAGTAATACCTTGCACTAGAGCACAGGCATGAAATGCGCCAAATAAGAAATCCGGGCGATGTTCGAGGACACAAATGCTTAGAAATCACCACTGTAGTCGAAGTAAACAAACACGACGACACGGGCGTTTCTGCCGACTTGAGAGCGCCGCCACGACATCGCCGCTCGAGTAGGTGGATCTTCTCTTCTAATACGTGCCGGGTTATCATAGCGACACACGTCGAAAATTCACAGTCGAGGATAGCGCTTTTACGCGGAACGATGAGATGAACGCCGTCTACGACGACGATCACAACGTTGATCACAACCGACGCCTTGTTCGCGGATAGAAGCAGCCGGCCCGCGACGGGCATGCAACGCGCGCGAACACTTCTCCTGTCGTTGCGGTTGTTGGTTTCCAACGCAGCGGAGGGACGCACGCACGTGAACGACACGTGCGTGCGTCCCTCCGTCGCTAGGGCAACTGAAGCCTCTCTCTTCGCTTCTCCCGCTTCTTCAAGCACCCTCCTTGCCCCGCGAGTGCCGCTTGCGCAACGCTTGCGCAACGCTTGCGCAACGCTTGCGGCTCGCGCCGTCAGCGCCGTTATCTAGTGTCGCACAGGCAAGCGTGCTCGCTGCTCCGGTCGTCGGCGGGGTCGGCGGGCTGTGCCAGAAACCCCACTATAACCGGTATTTCCCGTCGCGCGCCTGCGTTTTAAGCGGTATGTAATTACATGGAGTTCTATGTGGGGGGAACCGGTGGTTTAAAAAAACCGCGTTATACCCGGTCCTGCACTATAAGCGGTTACGTTGTAAGTGGTCTATACTGTACCATATTTTTTTCTTGGCTCGAAATCATTTGGCAATGTTAGGAACTACCCTCTGTGATAAGTGGTATGTATATTTCGCCTAGCAAATATTGCCTTTGCTCTAGTGAACTGCAGAGCCACCTCACAGACGGTGCCAGTGGTATCCCTTGTAAGAGATCAGAGGTGTGCAAAAATTTGAATACTCCACGAATGTCCTTGCTATTCGATTCGGTTCGAGTTGTTAGACTATTCGAAAACTATGAATAACGCCGAACTTGCTGGTTAGTCTCGAGTGGTGGTCATGTTCCCAGTTTGTTTTTACACTGCGCAGTAAGTATGGTTTCACACTTGGCCAACCCAAAAAGCCAACCTATCTGTGCCTTTTTACGGCGCACTTGTTCACTAGTTTCTCTAGGATTGTGTCCGCCAGCAAATAAATAGCCTCCGCCATCTATGAGCAACGGCGACGACCGGCAAGCTGCCGTTGCTCGTACATACCGCAACCTTTTTAATTCAATTTAATAAATCTTTATATTGTTTCATCACTGAAATGGGGGACCAAGACAAAAAGTGCATCAGCTTGACGGAGGTCCTGGCCCCCTTTACAGCAGGCGATTCCCAAGCAATTTCAAAAACAAACAAAATAGCTACATTGAGAGAAAGAATACTATTTTAATTGTACAGACCATAGATCAAACAAAAACGAGAGAAGAAATAAAATTAATACATCCATTGTGGCATACAATGACACAGTGATCCGTATGCCTTAGCCGTACCTAAGAAAACAACCCTAAAATGATGCTCGTACCTCTGCCAGCATCATTATATGAATATCAACACCTTTTAAAAACAATTAATTTAATAAAGTAGTTAATTGGTAACATAGCGTGTGGGTTATAATATAATGTATGTGATGGTGAAACAAACCACTCTCTTTAGGGTGGAGTTGATATGAGGAAGTGAAAAGGACTGGGTTACACAATTCCTCAAAAACTTTATTTTTAAACTGCGTAGACTTCTTGTACGCCACAAGAAGTCTGGACCTGTAAACATTTGAAATTGGTTTTATATCATCAAACAATGAGAACAAGTGTTCAGTATGAAACATTGGCAATAGCACGCGCAGCTTTCTTTCGTAAAATATGTAGTTTGTTTATATTTGTTTTGGTTGTATTTCCCCAAACTAGATGACAATAATTAAGTTGGGAATATACCAAAGCATTGTAAAGTTGGAGCTTAACACAACGAGGTAGCAGTGATTTAAACTTGGTTAGCAACCCCACTGTTTTTGACAATTTAGACGGAAGATTATCAACACGTTTATTCCAAGACATACTATTTGTAAAGCAAACACCCAAAGTCTTAATAGTGTCAACAACAACAATTTCTTCATTGTTCAAAATCAGTGGGTTTGGGATCATAACTGTTTATTTATTGACTTTTAAATAAAATGGCTTAGGTTTTTTGAAAATTCAACTTACGTAAGGTGATTATTTTTTGTCCATTTTTCTACGCGATCAAGAACGGTATTACATTTAGTTACTAGAGTATGGATATCTTTATCGGAAAAAAAGATGCTAGTGTCATCAGCGTATATAATGAACTCAACTTTAAGATCACGATTTACATTCACAATATCGTTGATACAAAGATTAAAAAGGAGGAGGCCTAAAATGCTGCCTTGGGGTACACCATTTGTTATTTTTGAAATATCAGATTTAAAGTTAACGAACTGGGTACGATTCCATAAGTAATATTGTAACAAACTTAATGTTTTTCTGTGAATGCCATAGTATTCTAATTTTGCTATAAGGACATTGTGATTTATTGTGTCGAAGGCCTTAGAGAAATCTAAATATATACCGATTGTTAATAAGTGATTACCTAGTACTCTTAATATTATTTCTTTTTGTTTTAATAATGCTAACTCAGTGGAATAATTGAGAATTTGTAATTAAAAGGTATTTCTCAAAATGAGACAATTCTATTTGAAACTATTTTTTCGAGTGGCTTAGAAAATACTGGAAGTATGGAAATTGGTCTAAAATTGTTAATATTATTTAAATCACCACCTTTATGCGATACACTAACTTTGGCAATCTGCATTTTGATAGGAAACTCACCGGACTCGAGTGCAAGATTGAACATATAAGTTAGGTATGGTGCTAGGATATCTAGAACATACTTTGCTGGTTTCATTTGCATATTGTATGCATCAATACTTCTACTATTGTTTAGGCTCATAAATGTATTATAAACTTTGGATACATCAGTAGGAAAAAGAAATATAGAATTAGGTAAGGGTGAAGGCATGCACTGACGTGCATTATTTACAGTAGTGGTAGAAACAGGAGATGTGGTATGATTTACAAAATAGTCATTAAAGTATTCACCATATCCGTCCCCGACATTATATAAACATCTATGTTAATTTCAACTGGCATAAAAACCTGTGGTTTGTAGTTAAACAATGTTTTGAGCCTTTGCCACGTCACTTTGACGTATATCATCGATATTAAACATATCGATGTAATAATCTTTCTTCGCTTGTCGCAGCATGCTGGTTAGTTTGTTTCTACATTTCTTAAAAATCTCAAGTTTCGAGGTTTCCCTAGATTTCAAAAACTGACCATATAAGTTGTTCTTCGTGCGAATCATAGTGAGAAGTTTAGGTGTAACCCAAGGTTTGCGAGAGTTTTTGGAGGGTTTTACGGTTTTAAATGGAAAATATTTGCCATATATTTGAATATATAAGTCCAAAAAAGAATTATAAGCATCATCTACCGATGGACTTTCAAAACTAACAGACCAATTTGTATGTTCAATTTCATAGCGGAAAGCATCTAACTGGCGCTGCGTGACAGGTTGGTATGTAGTCGTCGAGCTAAGGTAACGTTGTCTAAAGTGACGTTTTTGTGATCACTGATATCTGAAGAAATGACGCCGGCAGAGAGTACGGAATGTTTGTGGTTTGTAATAAACAAGTCAAGAAAAGAAGCTCTTGTGTTTGCTACTCTTGTAGGGTTCTTGATGACATTAGAAAAACCAAAGGATTGAAACTGAGTTGTAAACGCAAATTGCAGGTTACTATCAGTCAGGCATGGGCAGTATTTCAAATACAAGTATTTGAAATACGTATTTCAGATACTTTGTGTATTTTGCATTTGTATTTAATTACAAATTGGAAAATGTATTTGACGTGTGTATTTAAATACTAAAACGTGGGTATTTCAAATACAATTGTAATCAAATACAATTTTGTGGGCGAAAATACATCCCTCAAAATTTATTGTCACTGCCCAGAGCAGGAAGAAAACTATGTTCTGCACCGAATGCAGTGTCCCTCAATCAAGCACAAGCGTTTAGTGACTTTGTGATTACGGTGCTAGTCCAGGGTAAGAATAGTGACGAAATCGACGTTCACGGGCAGACTGGCTAAATAAGTGCCTGTGACAAGCTGTGATGCTTTCCAGCCTGATTTTCGTCCATATTTTTGCCTGGAACATTCTAAATTCGCGGGTCGTCCAGATTGTCGTAACTGGTACGAGTTGCAACTATAAAAAATTCTCTAGCTAGTGCTGCGCGTCTTGGTCGTATCGGTT